TCTGTTAATGCTTTACTGATGCACGCGGCTGTCCACAAGACGGAAACACCGTTCGTGTGTCAGTACTGCAAAAATACATTTGCAGACAAGAAATCCTTAACGAGACATCGCCGGATACACACCTGAGAAAAGCCTTATATCTGCAAGAAATGTGGCAACGCGTATGGTCGAAGAGAGATGCAACTATTGTCCAGAATAGTTTTTTTGGAAGTCTAGTTTGTTCGAACACTTATCATTGATTATTGTCATGGACTAAATAGTTAAATTGATATGTCTAATTTTACTTTAATTGAAATTAAACTTTTTCAATTCTTAATCGTATTTGTTTGTTCAATATTTACCGTGTTCAATACAACCTAAATATTTCGTTCATTTTCTTCATTTTTAAATATTGAATATAATACTCCGATAGTGCTTAATTCGAAATTATTAATTACAGAAGCAATAGGAAATGTTTTGCATTCCCCAATTTTATTACTGAATTAAGTCTGTTTAATCGTGACTTTGATCGTGAACTTTAATTTATACGAGTATAGGAATGAGAAATCTCCGAGTCCACGTGCCTTAAGCCGGATGCACACATGCGGCGCGTCAAGGAAAAGCGGCAGAATGACGTCACTTTTTCTCGCCGCAAAAGTCGATTTTGTGCCACAAAAGTTGGTCGAATTTTATCTTTTGCGGCAACTGCCGCCAAGACGCGTTTCTATCAGCCAATAACAGTTCGTCCGATAGTCACGTGAGAATATACAATCACGTCGTGTTATAATGGCGGAAAGTTCGACGCGGTTAACCGAGATAACTAACATCGGAATAAAGAGGAAAGGATAATAAATTTAACACAAATTCTAAACAAATAATCATATATAATTTAATTCAAAGAACGAAACAACCGAATCTTACTCGAAATAGTATTCTTTACTGAGGAATAAGCGTATTCTGTACACCAGTTCTTTATCGATCCAAGAAAATATTTCTAATCCAAAATCTTCGTTCGAATCTTCTAACTAAATAAAGCGAGCCGTACAAAACAAAATTTGTAAACACGTGGATAACGACAATATCGGTATCGTTCGCCATCTTGAATACTGTACGCATGCGCCGAAATGTAAGCGGATTGCCGCGCCGCATGTGTGCATCCGGCTTTACACAGCGCCGGATTTAGGCATTTCGAAGCCGTAAGCTGAACTCTGAGGCCTCACCACCCTTTACAATTTTATCAGTCGATCATAAAAAGACACTTTAGCTGCTTATTGTTATTTCATACTAGAGCGGAGAAGATAGGTCATTTGAAGAAAGAATTTTTATCTTAGTAATATTAGATAGCTTATTATGTTATATACATCGATTTACGTGTCAATAAAGTAAATTTTTATCACATTCGTTACTTTTTGTTTATCTTATCATCGGTATTTTTTTTAGTTTTCTTATTTGTAATTACAATTTCGCGAATGTGCTATAAGGGGCGCAATTTGAAAATGGACTCGCCCAGAGTTTTAAGTTAATCGTATAGCCGCTGTAAGGGGGACATAAGAATTTTAGAAAAGCTTAGGTGGGGCGTAGCACAAAAAAGGTTGGGAAGCACTGATATAAAGTTTTATGTACCGGTGCGTTACACAGCCGAAACAAAACGGAAGCTGGAAAAAACACGAAAGTAAAGAATAAAGAATCTTCTTGGTTCTAAGATTGTAGTAAATATAATTGTAAAATTGAAAGAAGTATAAAGAAAATATAATTAAACGTCGCGTTAAAAAAAAACTTTAGTGTATTGAAATACGTAAATAATATAAATTTATATTCTGGAATATCGTTGGATGCAGACTGGAATACATAAAAGCACAAATGTAGAGGAGAGGAGGGTATTATGGAATACCATTTACATTTCTAAAAATAACTTTACTGGTTTGTGAGTAAAAATCCCAAAATTATCACGAGTACATATAAGTAATTGTAATGAACAGTCACTTGTAAAAAAAATACTATTTATTTTGTTGTTATAAAAACAAATTTATTTTTAAAAAGTCACAAATGGAGGGTAATATGGAATAGGTAATTTAAACCATTGAAAAACTAATTAGACTTCATAAAACATGGTTATTTTTAACTATAAAAACCATATTTTTAAGATTATGTGCGTGTCATTCCTGCTTGGAGTCTATTTACAAAAATACAAATATAATTTTCTTTCTCTGCTCTGGTACAATCGAGGTGAGCCCATAGAGAACAGCCGAAGCATTGAATCCAAATTTTCCTTCGTTCGTCTTCGGAGAATTTTCCGTTACAGAAGATACATTCATCGTCTTCGTTTTCTGGTTCATTAGTTGATGGCACGAAGTCCATTACAGATGGAACGATTCATCGCTGCTAACACTGGAGCAGAGTCGGTAGATTAACTGGTCTTTCGACTACCTATTTTTGGTCGTTGCTGAAATCAACTAGAGACAAATGTTACTACCAGGGGCGCTGCAATCACTACAAGAACACTAGATCGCATCGCTGTGAGGTCGAATGTTTTCTTTTTATTGAAAGATATATAACCTTCGAGTTCGATTTCATAATTTCTATATGAATTTTATTATAACAATGGAAAAGCTTTTATTTAAACCCGAAACCAGGTTTATGGATAAATAAATTACAATAAAACATTAAACACCTTCCATCGCTGAGAAATGTTTATTTAATAAAATACGTTCGAACTCATTTACACCTGAGAATGGTGTATTCCATGAGGCTGAAAACGTTAGTGTTTTATTAAATAAACATTTCTCAGCGATGGAAGGTGTTTAATGTTCTATTAAGTGTTTTTAAAAACGCCGAGTTTATATTTAGTTAAATAAATGACGAGGAACAAAACTGACATAATAATACAACTATTAACTTGTGCTATTATGTAAATTTATTATACGTTAAAAATTTATTATACATACAAACAAATTACAGTAGAGTTTCGATTATCCGACCCCCGATTAACCGACCGTCCTAGTCGGCAAATTTCAAATGTCCGCTAGTAATGTGGCGCTACAATATTTGGCTATGTCTTGGCTACTTTAATATTATTTTTACGTGTTTTAGCTGGCAACACTCATTCGACCATAAAAGGGAGCCGGTATTTAAATGAGGCTTAATTTTCTCATTTTTAACGATACAATAGCGACGATTATTATTTTAAAAAATTGTTGTTAGGCTTAACATCGATGAAAATTCAACGCGAAGTAGGTTAATAGCTATATTCTAATATACTGATTACATGGGATATAATAATATACTACACTAATGGATTTTTTCATACTTTTCGAATATCCGACCAACCCCAGTCCCCAATTGAGTCGGATAATCGAGGCTCTACTGTAAATCGAAAATAAGGTAAAGTGTAAAAACTGTGTAAAGTGTACTTAGTGTATTTTTTAATAAAAAGTTGATTCGATTTAAATTTCATACAATGCCCAAACTTAAAACAGGACGAGCTCTTGCCAGTTCTGAATTTCCTTTTGAATATTAAAGTTGATATCGTCGACAATATTATTTTTAGTTACCAAAATTGCCCTTTGAAATAGCCACTTCGAGTAGTAATAAGAATGCGCAGATCCCAAACGGTTAGGAGTTGAAGGTTGAAATTTGATACACAGTTAGGGTGCGTCATGACAACTTACAGTAAGAAGGAATTTTTCGAAATTTACCTTACGGGGAGAGAGTGTTAACAATGAAAATGTTAACAATGAAAGTGGTTAAGAAACAATTGAAGTGTTGAGAGAAAGCGACGTGCATGATTTACAGGCGCAGATGCGGTTTTTTGCGTTTTTACGAGAAATCAAAAATAATTTTAGACCCATCTAAATATTTTCTAATTAGTCTGGAAACAGGACAACCTAATTCTTGCATTCTGAGAAAATGGGTAAGATTGGCTATAATGTAATAATCTTAATCTTCGCTATTGTTACTTTTTCCCGGGCAACGCCGGGTTCATCAGCTGGTATACAATAAAGCATTAAAAGAATATAAATAATCGAACCTTTATCAAATACATATTGAGCTTTAGATTTGGAGTTTTGAAAACATTGATATAAATGAAGGTTCCAAGCAGTGCGGTGACTAGGGCGGTGCCAGAAATGCCCACGCACAAGGCGCAAACCCTGGAGGGCGCAGAAATGACCTTGACCAAGTTTTGGGTCATAGTTTTGGGGCGTAGTTACAGAAGCTTGCACCGGGCGCATAAAAGACTAGTTACGGCGCTGGTTCCAAGTAATAAGCTTCTGATTCCATAAGTTAGAGCAAACGTACCTTTCCAATGATTATTAAAAATTAAAAAATTTTCTATAACAAAATCTCGTAATTTCGTAACACCTGGCGCCCCACACAATATGATTTATTTATTATATATCATAATATAAAGGTTAGTTTTTAAATGAAATCTTATAACAGCCAGGAAATTTATGCAACTGTATGCTAGATTTATTTTATATTCTTTTTTAATAACAAACATTTCGTTTCGAACATTTTCTTTTTCTACTTTCTATTCTTTGTTACAATCGATATTGTTTGATTCTTTTATCATTTCAAAATCGTTTTAAATCAAAACCACTTCACAATACTTGTTTCTTATTTACTTAACAAAGCCTTTCTTACAGTTTAATAACCAATCAAATATTTATTCTTTATTGTTTAGAATACTAATTAATCTATATACATATAAATGAGGATATTTGTTTGTTTGTTTGTTTACTATGTACACCTAAGCGATTCGACCAATTGCGACAAAACTCGACAATTGCATTAATATACTTCTAACTTGGATAGTATAGTGCATCGCACCCAAGAATATCAATAGGAATTCCGTACACATTAATTTTACTTTTTTATACATATACACTTTTATATTACATTTCTATACATATTAGTTCTAATTCTAACTAATTAAATGTATAATATTGTTATTAATATTAATTTAATCATTCTAATGTTTTCCTTCTTCTCGCCATGAATAAAGTTTTCATTTTGAAGTATTCTCTCGTGCAATCCTTGGTGTGCATTTTTAATATTAAGTAATTTTCTCATATTAATGTAGTAATTTTTCTTTATTCTTCTTGTCTAATTTTTTCAATGTCTCTTCATTTTCTGCTGTATTACTGCAAAAATATAATTATATATTTTCTTATATTTTCATTATATCAAACATGTTTCAATAACTCTTACTTAAATCGATTATATTTTCTAAAATAATCATTAATAATTTCTTACTTCATAACGGTATCGTTCAAACGAGTACTTTTGGTCTCGCGTAAAGGCAAAATGAACAAACCAGAGGTAACAGTCAATACTCCTACTGTCACAAAGGGAATGCTCCAATTTACCTTTTCACTCTGTAACAATAACATTATACTGTAAACTAGTATAAATAACTTAATTAATATTAAAAATGAAAGTGAAGTCGTACAAGATCTTTCATGAAATGTGAAGCGATTGATCCGATTCTAGAGACTGTAGAACACGATCCAATACCGACGTTACGAATTACAGTAGGATATAATTCTAAAGTAAATCCATACATTGTAGTTATTGTAATCGATGTACAAAATCTGCATAACACTACGAAGACAATCCTAAGCCATACAAGATCTGTTTAGAAATTTTAATGTTCAGAATCGTGATAAAATAAAAAAGCCTGGACGTTTCAAAACAAAACTATTATTTCATATTGTTAATGATTAGTATTATTGATTCCAGATTTACCGTTTGGAACGGCTGTTATGAGTAACGATGTAATGCCCACTGAAAGGAATCCAAACATCAAAATACTTCTCCTTCCAAAGCGTGGTAAAATAATGCTTAACACAGCAGAAACGCAAGCTTGTAATAAGGAAAATAAAAGAAAAAGAAGAAAGATGTTTCCTCCTGTCATATCAGCATTCAAAGCCAATACGTAGGCGTCGAACATTATCACTGACCTAAAAGAAATAAAAGAACTTAATGTACATAATAAATTACAATAAGTTTCAACAAAAGAAAGGCCATTTATTAGTATGTGTTCACTCCATTTTTATAAACAATGACGTCTTATTAATTAATAAAATAATTTAATGATATCGTATTATATTGTAATTGACAGATGCATAGCAATTCATTACCTTTTGAAATTAAAAAAAATAAACAGAATTATTTTTTATTAATGAAAAATTACTTAATACGTCAACAAATAACAAATGGTTACCATAAGATGTACATGATGAAAGTAATTTTACGTAACGTTTTATTTTTGATCAAATGGAAAAAGTTTATTTTCTTCCTCTTGTCATTCTGTAACAGGAAAATCATATACAACATCATATTTAGTAAAAAAATGTTTTCGTATACATTAATTATTGTAAATATTTATTTTAAACTATGAGAAATTCGGCCAATGGCGGATCCAGAAGAGTCAAAAAAGTTTTTCACGTGTTAATAAAAAACATCCCTATATATATATAAATCATTTAATAACATGTACGGGACGATTGTATTATACATGATCCAATAAACCATATTAAAACTATCTCCTTTTCGATTTACTAGAGGTAATCACATAAGACAAAACCTTTAAACCCCTTATCTCAGGCACAAAAATATTAAAACCAAACTATTGCATTACTTAGTTTTCACAAAAAACGTAATAAAATAATTACTTTTTTAATTAATTAATTAATAACTAATTATTGTATTATTTCAAAGCATCGTTATTCAGTGTAAAGCTTAACTTATTTATTATTAAAATCAATTTACCTTTATAATTTTCCAATGAAGTTTTTCAATAATTTCGGTTAAATCGTCGTTATGCCTTTTATTCTTCTTCATTATGTTACGTATAACCTCTTCGGCTTTACGTAGTCTACCGTGAGTTAGCAGCCATCTTGGAGACTCCGGTATTAAACTAATCCAAAACATATTTTCATAAAATATAAAAACAATTAACACATTAAATAACCATTACCTGATAAATATGAGAGTGAGAATAGCCGGCAAAGAGCAGAATAACTGAATATAAGTCGAATCTTTGAGAAACCAAGATACTCCGGTAATCATAAGCATCCCAATGCAATAGGCTAAACTGTTAATTACTATGACTTTTTCTCTGTGTGTTGGTCCAACCACTTCCATAACTATACACAAAGATCGTTTATTATTGTTAAAGAATACAAAAACGACGGTATATACAAAAAATATTAGATCTAAACTTTCAAATGGTTCATCCATAGTTATTAAATACAGGTCATTTTTTTTGAATGAAGTGAAGTTAATACAGTATATTAAGTAAGAACATAAAGTTATATTTACATTGTATTGTTACCATTCTATTAAGTGTATGAATTTAATTCATGACTTACCGTATATTCTGTAAGTTAGATTAGAGGCAGAGATTCCTGCAGAGAAGAAAAAACGAGATACAATGAACATCCAGTAATATGGAGAAAATGAGCAAAGAATTCCAAAAGTAATGTGAAGCACGAGACCCGATATTATTACTGGTCTTCTTCCATATCTACGTAAATATTGATATAATTAATATATTGCTATAAAATTAAAGCATTTTCATAAAAATCAAAATGAGAAGTTTTCACACCTATCGGATATCTGGCCAGATACGATACCGGAAACGAAGAATCCCACGAAGTAAGAAGAGCCAGCCAGTGAACTCAACCAAGAATTTTCACAAACTAAATCCCACTGAAAATTTGAATTAAATAAAGTTAAATTTCAGATATACATTTAAGAAAAATCTTTTATTCTTACCTTTTCAATGACACTATATCTGTATTGTGAATGATCGTATTCCCACGAACGACAAGGAATATTGGAAAAGTTCTTTTCATATTTCTCATCGTTAATATCGTATATTTCACATCGACTATGTGTTGTTCTCCCGTTTCTTATCTCCATGGGTGCGCTGATATTTTTCCATTCTTCCACGGACATGTTCATGTATTTTGATGTTCTCGCACACCAATAATCCACTCTATATGCCAAGAATGGCCAATTTAAATTGCATATTGCAAAGACAGCGACATTCCATACTGATATCCCGATTAAAGTTTTTTGCCATCTTCCAAATCCACCGATAAGATCTGTGAAATCTTGAAAGTTTTTCGATGTTTCCTATCAAAACATACAATTTTAGTATTTAATAGAGGGAACATATTACGTATTGTAGAGTGAAACAATAGAAGTATTCAATCTCAAATAATTATTTTTGGGCATTAATTTGAAAAAGTTGTAAACCTACAAATTTCCACTATCTTTCCTTAATCTCAAGAACGAAGTTAGATAGATGAAAGACAAGGAGTCCCCGATTAACTATAGGGAAAATGACCTCCTTCATTTCCATTTTACGTAAAATATCGTCTTAGTGCAAGATTAAATTTTCTGGCATTCTAGTTACTAGTCCTAATCAGGAGTATCGTCTCCACCACTATCATTACCTTCATTAAATTTAGGTGTTTTTTCCGAAACAACTTGTTCAATAATTGTATCAACACAATTCTCATTTTTATTGCAACATACAAAGTTGTTATTCATGTTAAAATTTTTTTCTGATTTCTAACATTTTGTACTTCAGGACTTCGGGAGAAATTTCACTGTGATTATCGATTATATCTCTCATTTCCTGTTCTAAAATCTTAAAGCCCCAATGAGAAAAGCAGCTTCAAATTGCGTTACAGCTTACTGTTTTTCAACTATCAGCTATATACTGTAATGCCTGTAAAATAGTAACCTTAAAAATAATTTTGTGTGTTTTTGTAAACGATGTTAGACCATTTTAGAAAAATTTTGGAAGTAATTCATGCATAATTCCAACTGGGAAACAGTCTATTGTGAAACCTCTAAAGCATATTGAAGTGCTTTTCAATAACTAATATTTTTCGTTTATTACTTCCTGACTTGTTACAGTAGCGCAATGCGAATCCATTGCCTTTTTTCAACACACAGCACTTCAGATTTGTAACTCAGGTAACCATCTGGAGCTGCAAGGTAAAACAGTTTCGTTTCATTCGCATTGTACGTTAGATCAGAGGTAAAATTTTTGCAGCATTTCAGGCAACTTACTTGTTAGTTGATTTCTACTCTTTGGCGCTCGTAATGTAAGCACTGTTATTTCACCGTGTACCCTCTTAAATGTTAATTTTACGTACGAAAAACCACCTGTCTGTTGCTTTGAAATTCGTATGACTCGTTGATGTAGCTGACTCTTCTTATTTGACTTTTAACATTGACCCTTTAAAACGTATTCCTCTTTGCTGCTATGCTATTTCGATAAAGCTACCAAAAATATTTAAAAAATAAAATTCATCTGACCACATAACACTGCACCAGTTATCCACTGTCCAATTTCGGTGTTTTTTTGGCGGAGATGAGGCGCTTTGCTTGATACCTAGGTACTGTATTACTAGTGACACTAGACTGGTTCGGCGACTGCCAAACCCAACGGATGCAGTGTACGTGAGTTGACTGATAAGTACAACGACGCACATATTGAAGTCTGATGTAATTTACCTCAAAGTTGCTTTTTTTGTGTGTAGTTACTAACCTGGTTAGCCACCGGCTGCGCCTCACGTTGTTGCATCAACCATGGGCTCCCACAATGCGTACTTGGTGTAGACGTCTGTCTGTAATTTAAGTATTTCTTTTATGATCTCGAAACCGTTATACAAGAAAACCAAAGAGCATTGGCTACCTCGCTAATAGCGCAACCCATTCTTTTTGCTCATCCACGATGCAGATAAACTTTTTTTATTATAAGACTATAAATCACATGCGGTAAATAAAACTCTGACTTTCTGCCTCAAATTACAACTGTATTATCTTGTCCTTGTACATCATACTTTTCCTGTTAGCAATAGTCATGCGAGTCGTCTCTGTAACTTCTTTTCGGGAAAATTTTTTGAATTTCAATAACGTGAGTTACGGTTTGCGTCGAAAGATACTTTATAGTAAACCGTGTCTCCTGTTTTTGTGCTTTCCATAAGTTGTCTCTAATTTAATCTATCTTACACCTTTCTCGAGATTAAGAAAAGACAGCCGGACGGACGACAATGATAATTTAAAGGTCTACACTTTTTTGAAGTTGTAGCCCAATTACTTTAAAAATTTCACATTGATTTACACGTTTTTTTTCAAATATTCAACGAATTTTTATAACAATTTGAATGCTTTGTTGTAATGTGTTTCATATAGAAATTTATATAATTTCGATTAAATTGTTTTTATAGAGTCGTAACACTATAATCATATCCAAATTCTACCCAATATTACATTTATCGTTTGCAACAATGAAAAAAAGGAAAAATTATCCCCACATTAATAAATATAATTCTTACCTCCATTTTAGGCGATCCGTTACTCTCTTCTATTGTATTCATGGTATTCATCATTGACTTTGTATAATATAAAAGTGAAATAGGATTCTACAAAAAAAATTAGCAATAACATAATTGACTTATTCAGAAACCGTGTCTTCTTTTAATTAATTATTATTCTTTACTTCACTACTGGGTGCATAGGTAGATACTGGGCATCTTTAACATCACCGTTTATTCTAAAATATCTTATACTTCGGTGTGTAAGATATTCTTGAATAACTTTTTGTATTATGAAAATGCATTTAGTTCATAATTGCATTCTTAAAAATACATAAAAATGTAATTACATAAAAATGCAATAAAAATATTTATTGTATTCATTTATGTATGTAAGTGAATACAATAAGTAGGCATTTTCTCCATTTCTCATTTATAGAAGTATAAAAATATTTAAATATCAAATTCATCTATTTTTGTTTTATGAAAGTATCTTGTTTTAAAACATAATTATTAACATTTACACGTAGCAGCTCAAGGATATTCTGTAATAATATAAAAGATATTACTACGTAGAATGATTTGAATTTTTAGAAAAATTTAGCACAAATGTAAATTAAGTTCTTTTTATCACTCTATTGATTTCTTCTATTAAAATTTCCACTTATATAAAACTTTGAATTTTAGAAAAAATTCCTTATTACGAAACACATGAATTAATTTGAATTATAAAAAACTTTCTATTTAAAATTATTAAATATTCAAAGTAATACTGCTATACTATATATTTCTATGTTTATATTATACTTCTTTGTATTATATAAAGTAAGATTTAATTTTCGGACAGAAGAAAATAAATACAGTAGAGCATCGATTATCCGAACCCCGATTAACCGTCACATCGGTTAACCTAAAAATTTCAAATGTCCACTAGTGATGTGGGACTACAATATTTGGCTATGTCTTGGCTACTTTAATATTATTTTTGTTAAATTTTTGCGTGTTTTAGCTGGCAACGCTAGCTAGACCATGAAAGGGAGGCCAGTATTTAAACGAGATTTAATTTTCTAACTATGAGTGGTCGTTTGTTTTGTGAGCAATAAAATGATTTAAAAATATTTTTTAACGATACAATAGGTACGATTATTATTTTTAAAAAAATTTTATTAGGCTTAACATCGATGAAAATTCAACGTGAAGTATGTTAATAGCGATATACTAATATACTAATTACATAGGATATACTAATATGCTAATATACTATACTAATAATGTATTTTTTCATTCTTTTCGATTATCCGATTTTTTCAGTTATCCGACCAACCCGGATAACCCGAGTGTCCAATTGTATCGGATAATCGATGCTCTACTGTATAACGATTTCATTTCACACAGATTTAAAACACGATATTAAATGAATTAATCATTAAATTACCTTGAAAGAGAAATTTATTTTGTTAATAATTGTAAACAATTTCTTCTTAACTTAGCGTTATCTTCTTCGTTATTATTAAAATAAAACTAACCTGATTATGACTGGAAATGTTGAAATTCTTCTATTATTATAAATAAATAAATGTGACATAAATTAACAGAAGTTTTTCAACACCTTTTACTTATAGATTGTCTTTTATATGTCTGATATTTATGAATCTAGCTGCTGACATGTCGCTTTCAAAACTTACAATTGTCATCATAATTATTATTCTTAAATAAAATATTCTATGACGTATTCCTGACTCATTACTAACAATCTACATCTACTTATTGGTAAAATCTAATATTGTAGTTGAGACAGTAATTGCTTAAAATTCGTTTGATACGAACCTTAGGTTTCAATTTCCACTTCAAGATTAAGGTGCTCATTCAATACCTATGCATAGCACACTAGATAATAACCAACAAACCTACAAAAATATTATATATGTAAGTAATAATACGTACGTATGCAGCAAATTTATTAGAAAATGTTATAAGTATACGGGAGCCACTGTATGTAAGGTTTTAGAAAAGTCACATGGAGCTTGCCAGCCATCTTGTAATCATTGCAAGATTACAATATCATAGTTTAATTACTTTAAATATGACTGCAACCCGATTTATAAAATAAAAAATAAAGTGCAATTTTACTGAGTATGAACCTTTTTCTTGTTTTAGAGGAAAGATGTACATAATCTGTACTTTTGAATTATTTAGTAGACTATGATGAATGCAAATTATCAGATGAAGTTGCAAAGTTTGCTGCGTACTGCATGTCTTTCTTAGACTGGGGACCATGTCTAGGAATTCTGAAAGTCCTTCCTTTCTTCCAGCCCATTACTTAGACTAGGTGATGGTGTGCCTTTTATAAATTCAACTGTAATAGGCGACATATTCCACTTATGTATATATGTTCCACTGATCATTTTGTTTGCTGAGGCGCGTATTGAAGAAAGAAATTTATTTCATGAATTCGTTTATCTCGGTATGCAAGTATCCTACTGTGTTTTAAGTTTTTGGTTTATTTTTCTACTATTTTACTAGATGTTCTCTTAATACAGGTATGTAAACTGCCTCGAAGGCACTTTAGTCTTGTCAATTAATTTTAGTACATTTTAGGAGTGCTGTTTGCCTCTTTGCAATAAAGTTATTTTCTGGAAGACGAGAGAATTGCTGGCAATGCAAGGGCTGATTTATGGCCAGACAAGATGCTGCTTCCCAATTCTCTCCATTTGAATATCTTAATTTTCAAGTTTACACTAGGTATTTCCTGAGTGGGTAAAATTACTGAACATTTTTTGTACACAAACTTGGTTGCAAGTTTGTGTCCACAAAATACATTATTATGACGTTAATTAAATAACTTGGTTTAAAAAAGCGCAACAAATCTTACAATCTCGGAATTTTTCTGGAATTTGTTGAAGTTTGTGGTTTTTATTACCATATATACCACAGTATACCATAGCAATCTGGTATTGAAGAAGAATTCGGGGGGCGGTCTGTTACCTTATTTATAGCAACAGATCGTCCAATCTATGAACAGCATATTATACCATCTCCTTTAACACCGTGATGGATACGATTAGAAATGACGCTATTAGTACACACAGGGACATATATTTATAGTTAACAAAAGTAGTTTTGTTACAGTATGTAATTTAAATACGATTTAATTTTACCTGTAAATAAATAATGAGAATTGTTGTTTACTAAAATTCTATTGTGTGAGTAATGTATATTTTATGGTAACTAAGAATTAAAGATATATAATATCGATAAAGTAAATATTAATTGTTATGCTGTATGTACGTTGTTTTAAATGCATATATTCTAATCTAATTCGATAGATAAACATTCGTGGTGCTTCATAAATAAGGGGTAGTAAATAGTGCCTTCCTGAAGGACATACCAGAAAGCTACCTCGTAATCAGATGTTAGAAACGTAAAAGCATTCGGGAAGGTAAATGTGGTTAGCCCGTTGGTCAGGCACGAACCCGCGGTTATTATCCAACCGGCCATTACTGGGTTAAAAATTAAAAATAGTATCGTAAGTCAGAAAGAATATGGAGTCTAAATGCTTTTATTGCTTTTTTAGGCCAACCTTTGCCGTAGCAGACATGTTAGGTGGGATCGCGGTTCGTCCTTGTAAATGCATTTCGGTAAGCAAACGTAAGCGTAGGGTTTTGTTAGTTTATTCAATATTCATTCAGTTAATATTTTTAGCTCATTCTTGTATTGTAATTGGAAGTAACCTATCTCGTCTCCCTAATTACAATGTAAATTTCTTTCGATGCGTTCTTAAAAACAGAATAGGTAAGAGTAACAATGCCCTCTTTGTTCACATCGCATATTTTATTGAGTCTTTTGGAGCAAGTGTAGGGTATTTTGTATTGAAAACAAGAAAATTCGACAAAATACCTATCACAATACCAAATAATAGGCAGGAAATGTTACGACACATTCAAGATTATATGCTTGCTTCTTCTGGCCTGTACTTTCTGTTTCTTATGACAGGAAATACAATGTTTTCGGGTTTTGTTGCCGAAGGTATCGAATCTGGTTCAACAACACTCAGGGGTATTGTATGCGCTGTTATTTTAAACATTAGCTTCATGTACGAGTTAGCTCTGTTGATGTCTGTATGTATGATGATATTTATCATTACCGTTTCGGCGAAGAAAGTGTTCGATAGTCTTTCCGAGCGATTATATTTAACAAATATTAATAGTAACGAATATCAGATCAATTGCATCATGTCTGAACATGCTGAAATGTATCGTTTTGTTGATGATGTTAACGATACTTGGAAAGATATGTTTGCTCTCTGTTATGGTTTTACTGGCCTCTTACTCGGATCCTTCGTTTATAACACCGTTTTTAAAACTATGAATCTGAAATCCCAATGGGTACTTGATGTAGTAACGATCATCTTCATTCTCGTCGCGCTTTATGGTATGTTTGTGATTTCAATGGGTATTAGTTCCGTAAGTCATGTAGTTTATTTAATTAATGAAATTATTATTATTATTTAAATTTAACATTACTTTAAATATTTTCAGATCTACGATAACTTTCAAGAAATCCGAAAAATGAATATGAAATCTTCACGGATAACGCATAAAATTAAGGTTTGGTGCTTCTTATATTTTCTCTTGTATTTTTATTTACAGGAGAATATTCAAGAATTATTTTTCAATTTAGCTGATTTGTTTCATGAAATTCTTTCGTGAAAATGCCATTGGATTCAATTGCGGAGATATGTTAATTGTAACTAAAGATATTCCCATTCAGGTATTTTTTTTAACATTTATCTAATAATTTTCTACATAATTAAGATTAAAAAAAACCTCTCCATTGTTTTAAATACAGTACATTCTCGTTAATTCGAACTCAGAGTGAAGGCCTTAAACATTTTAAGTTAAAACGAGTCCATTACTGGATGCTACAGAACAACAACAAATAAGTTTAACGATATATTAATTCGAATAAACCAAATGAGCCACAATCCAGTTCGAATTAACACAGTCTGCTGTATTAAGATATAAATTTTATTATATATTTATGTTAATTACGTATGAAGCGGCAACGCTCTGTTGCTACTTGAAGCTGAAAGTAACTTCATTATAGAACAAACCGCCATATTGTGAGGGGAAAAAAGTGTGTTTTTCTTTTGAACTCGAAAAGACAAGTTAAAGATAAAGAATAACATACAAACAATTAAAAAAACATTCGGTTAGTCTCATTTATCATAGGCAGTGAATATATATTTTTCTGGGTAAAACCTTCGTTTAATATCTCAGGGGTAATGATTAAGAACCGAAATTTAGCATGGTAGTAGTTTGTATATAATAGAGATTGATTTTTTTATTTTTTGTTCTATTTGCAGATGGTCCGTGGTCTGTATAAGTCATTTAATACTTTAAAGGGAATTCACGATATCATGAATGGTACTAAAGGGAACTGCAACGAGATATTCGGCGTTAAATTAGACGAGATTTAAGCATGCATTCTTAAGAATTATACGATTGATAGAATAAGACTAACAGATTTACCAAGATTTGTTACTCTGGAGGACTTTCTATGAGAAACTGGCATCTATTCAGGTGTTGAACACGTGAAGAAAATACAATACTTATATATTAATATAAGTGGAGAAAGTAGAAATTTAGGTTTACCTGTTTAGAAAATAATTGATTTACACATAACTTTATGTTTTTTGGTTATTTTGTCATAGAAATTGAAAGAACGTTTTAGTTGAAGCACCTTAACAGAAAAGTAAAGTTTCAAAAATGAAGAATAGTTAGATAAACTAAACAAATCATTGCATATAGATTTAAGGATTTTAGGAATGATGCCAGAAAATGTTAATTTTTCTGGCTTTAACTCTGAGGCTTTAGCTATTAATTTCAGTGTGGATAACCCATATAGATGTCTTAATATAGATAAATTGTAGATATAGATGTATACTGAGGTATAATAAATAAATTGTAGATATAGATGTATATGTATAACAGATAAATTGGTTTACTGAGATATGTCATAAGCAAACCGAGATTACACAATGAAAGAATCGGTGAACAAGTATTTTATTCTTTCTTACTTCGAATCTTCTCATGTAGCCTAGTGTATGAGTATGAAGGGCCTATTTTTCTGTTTCTATACTCAATTCTTTGTGACATTGATTTCTTGACATTAAATTCACTTTTAAACTCAAGTGAGAAGAGGGGGTTGACAATCTCTTTCACTTTCCCTCCTTCTCTACCTCAATTTTTCCCACTCCACCCCACCTCTTCCTTTCCCACCAATTATCTAGCTCTTCTTTCTTTTGGACTATACCATTGAGTTCAGCCTATCTCTTTCCTTAATAGTAGTAGTAGTGGGGATTGGCAGAGGGTGACAAGCGAGAAAGCATTAGTAAGAAATGCTCCCCTAACTAGTTTCATGCCTGCAGTAATTAAAATTATTGAATAAGTTCAATTAAAGTATTAAATTATACACTTACGAGAAATGGATTGTAAATGAAATACATAAATTCATAATGTATAAATATGTATTTAATAATTCATACAAATACAATTATCAGTATGTGTTTAGTTATTTATTTGATAAGAAATTATACAATAATGTAAATAATCTTGGATATTTTCCAATATTATTAACATATTTGGCTAAATTATATATGTATCTAAGATGTATTTATTCATGAAAATTACATTTCTGTATACATATAAATATATTGAATATCACTTAAGTGATTTAGCTTTGTATTGTCAGTTGTATATGCATTGATTTAAAAATAAAATTGAATTTATGGAATTATGTACGTGGTATGTCTGAAACGTGCAATTGTTTCTAATTTTAATCATTTAAAATTTCGTAAAATTTGTGTTAATATCTGCAACGTGAAAATTTTAGCCCAATAATAAATCATACATAAGTTATCTTCATGAAATGCACCCAAAAACTAAATTATGAACCTATAGATAATATGTCGTTTCTCTGGTTGTAGCTTACCATACTTTTGAGTATTTGTTGTTAACGTAACATATATATCCTTCAGTATCATTGTACAGTACTTCACGTGTCTATCTCCAAAATTGGGTCTATCTCCTTAATCTGTTCTCAAGATTAAGGAAAGATAGACGGACTGAAGACAGTGGGAATTTATAGGAGTACAATTTAGCAATTTCGGAACTGTTCTATCTGCTAAATAGTTCCGGAGCTGTTGAGTATTGTTCTGATGAACGCCCTTTACAGTATCGCTGTTTTCAAATATGTTTGGTGTTTTGACATCGCATTTAGTAGCGGGTTTCATTTACACTACCTTTAAGTAGCTAGCTGGAACTGATAAAAGATGGCTGCATTCACATAAAGTGAAGTATATCTTAAATACGCGTATGAAGACATATATTACAGTATTAATTCCATTTAAAAAAAACAGTTATTATGAACTGAAAGCAGATATCTGCAAAATAAACTTTTAATATGAATACAACATGGATTGATGCGTGGAGAAAATCAAAATATGGTGGAATTTGTGAAATGTAAAGTGTTTTACATTTACACTGCAACACTTTAATGTAACTCCTTAGAAAGAAATCTGAAGGAATCATGCCTGAAGACCTTCGGGCCACTATCTATCGGGCATACCAAACCACGACCTGCTTTTTCTCCTGCGGCGAAGCCACGAGTGTACAGTATAGTATATTAATGCTCCTACTTTACTATAACATTGTAATATAATATAACATTTGAGTATGATACGACTGATTTTCTGTTTTACCAATGTTCAATTCTTTGTGAAAATATGTTTATCCATGCCCACAATGCCGTACATCGAGGACCGTGAATATTTCTGAGGTTTTGACTGGCCTTTTTGAGGTTCTGGGTCCTTTATCATCTCAGCTAGCCGAACGTGTCGACCCATTTTATTTCAGCTTATTGTCATTAAAAGTAATGGTAATTAATAATAAATAATAATAAACTTCTCTTTATTTAAATATCATTTAATTACAATTTAATGGAAATTTTAAATTTAATGTATTTCATAATCTGTAGAAATGGCTAAATTCATAAAAGAAAAATAAATCAATCAATTTGAGTAACTTCACTGCTTCAAACAACACTATGCTAACAGACAGCTTCTTAATATATTAATTTAATTAATACATGGATTTATTTTATTTTTCTGGTGAGAAATACCTTAATATTTTCCCATTTTAATGGTAAAATCTTTAGTTTTAGAGTGGGTACAGTATTTTGTGTGGACAATTGATTTGTTTCGTTATGATCGGTTTGACTTCTTTCTTCCGAAATTACAGTTAATTCAGTGTAAGGATTAGATTTTGCTGAAAGGAGTGATGTCTTTCTGTTGACATCACTTAAAGTCGGAGGTTCTGATGATGGATTCGGAGAGACACTTCGAGTGTATTTTTGGTAACTATCAGCTTTCTGATTTATCTGAAAAATAACATTATATAAGTCATTTATATAAATTAACAATTAATTCTTCATACTTAATTGCAAAAACAAATGATCAAATTAATAATCCCCATACGATTTACAAGGCGATTAATTCATACGTATGCAAATGATCTCTTTGCGTGTTCCTGTTTTACATAATATTACGACTTTTGAAGTGTTTCATTAATTATTTTAGCACTTGATAATGATTGCATAATAAATTGAACTGATGGAATAAGACGATAGGGTAGAGCTACACATACTAGAGTTCATCAATGGTACTTCAGCCTGGTGAGAAATTTTCAACTTAGAGATGACACTGGAAAAGGTTGAAAACACTGGAATGCATTTTAAAGAACGGCCAAGGATCTACCATTTGAAAGGACTTTCTACGTGCAACTAGTTCATATTCAGGTGTCAGACACTGAAAAACAACACGTGTCCAATCCCTTCTTCACGAGTGAACGAACCCGTGATCAACTACCAATTTTAATTTATAATCTATATAATTGAAGTTATTGAAATATGAAAAATATTTTAATAGAGAGCTGCATGGTTTATTGAACTCTTTCATATTTATTTCATAAATTTTTCGTGAAAATACCTTGTTAAATTTATTCTATCCAATGATCTCAGATATAAAAAGATTTTAAGAAATTCAATTTTTATCTTTTTAAAATATTATCTCTTACTAATTTTTAATGAATTTCTGTTATAAATAAGATATTATTATTATTTTTTTAATTCCTGCAGTAACCAGTAACCTGCAGTAAGGTTTAACTGTACAACGATTAACTGTTTATTGTTTATTATATTATGCATACAAACCTGATTTCTCATGTTATCATTATTAATCTGTAATGTTAATTCCTGGTACAATGATAAAACACAGAGGAAGCTGTATATCTAGAAAATAAATTTAACATAAATAAAGAAAAACAAATTAAATTAATAGATAAATTTACTTAAAACACTTACATTTAGAGCACAAATGAACAAATCTATGATAAATAATATTGCTAGAAACGGATCGAAAATCTAGAAAAATACATTTAAATTCGTTAGTTACATAAATGGATGATCACATAGTCAAAATGAAACCTCGATATATCGCCACCCTGGTAAAGCCCCCCAACGAACAGATCTCTCTTAACAAATAATACAGAATCCTTCATTATATGTGAATTACCAACTGTACGATTTTGTTTCAAGCACTTTCCAGTGATGTAAAATCGAGGTTTCGTCGTATATAAACATTAAAATATATCGTTTAAGTCTTAATAATAATATACAATAAGGTATTCCTTACATAAACAAAGGCACTTACGGCATCTTTTATGATGAAAAATGACAATCCAATATCCAGAAAAGTAGCAATCGATACAGAAACCAGCCAAGGGATTAACAAGATAGTGTTTTTCTATAAAATTCATTTAAATTAATTTGTAAATTTAATTTAATAATTTAAAAAAAAATCGTATATTTACCTTTGACAATGCAATCAACAGTAAGATTGAGAATATCACACAGATTGCTGATAAAATTATAAAAACAATAGAAAATGCTAGAAGAGCTATTTAAAAATTAATTTAATTAATCAATTAAATATGTTTAAATTAATAAAATTAGTAAAAATTATAACAAAAGTCTTACCTGGAGGATTATCTGTTAAACATATGTGATAAGTGCCAACAATGAACAATACGGAATATAAAATCTGTAAAAAAAAACATTTATATTTATAATTTAATTTTACAACTTTAACTTTATTTTTATTTTAAAATGTTTTTAAAAATTAATTTTTAAATCTTTCTTGTTAATAACTAAATTAGGAATTAAGAAACACCAGATTAAATATACAGCGTATGTTCGATTAAAGTAAGTTTCAGTAAGACCAGTAAAAAGGTTTCAGTGGGATCAGCAGGAAGAGGTTTCAGTGGGATCAGCAGGAAGAGGTATCAGTGGAATCAGCAGGAAGAGGTTTCAGTGGGATCAGCAGGAAAAGGTATCAGTGGAATCAGCAGGAAGAGGTTTCAGTGGGATCAGCAAGAAGAGGTTTCAGTGGGATCAGAAGGAACAGATTTCAGTGCGATCAGCAAGAAGAGGCTTCAGTGGGATCAGCAAGAAGAGGTTTCAGTAGAAACTTTTTAAAAGTTCTTACTAAAACTTGTTCTTACACTCGAACATTGCTTTGCTATATTTTTAAAAGGTTATTGCTATTACACTTGAAATTAAATAACACTAGGTTAAGTATATTTTTAAGTGTAATTAATATAGTAGAGTTTGACCCAAATGATAATTGATTTTAAATATAACTAATTATACCATAATATAATAATAATTTTATTATATAACTTATAAATTATTATGTAATGTAAACTATTTACATAATAATAACTTTGTAAATTTTTGACAAATTCTCCATTATATTATTAATGATGATAAATGAGTTTAAGAATCATCAATCAAATAGTTTAATTTAGCTCCTTCTTACCTATTTTTATAGCGATAATTAGCAATTCTCTGTTAAAATTCATAATACCCTAAACTATAATCCAGGGAATTACTCTAATTGGGAAATACCAATTAGAGAATATCTTGACAACAAATTAAATGGACTGGATACAAGAATCCATATTTTCTCTATTGTACACTATACACAAGTAGTTGTATTATTTTCAATATACACATAAGTTTTATCTTCTAAAAACACCCATAGTATTCTAGTATGTTCTGCAGAAATTTGCTATATTAATTCTGATGAAACCCTGCTTTACTGATCCTAAGAAAACCTGTCTTACTCATCTTAATGAAACCTTATCATTTATCTTCTTGAATGTTTTATCATTGTCCTGAAAACTGTTGTAATAAATGATGTGATAGAAGATGAAAAATGCACTTTCATAAAGTAATGTAAAATGTTTAATAGGATACGGCAATGTAACACGTAAAAGGGGTGTCTTCTGGGAGGTTTTCTATGGGACACACTGGCTCGTATTATGACGTGAATAAAATTCAGAAAATTGCACCCGCGACCAATGTTTAGTAGTTTTGTCCATTCGGCCACTGGTAGGCTGATGTAAAATATTAAAAAAATAGATATAAGAAACACTAGAAATTCAAAGAAGTTTCATTTATTGCAATCATTTAAAAAAAACACGTAAAGAAATTAATTTTTTTATGTGCCTGCAAATATGATTTTTGAGCTTAGACTTCTTAATAATTATTTACTTAATTAATACGACTATAATTATGTAAATTACTCGATAATTGGACGGTAAAAAACGATAATCGGATTAAAAGTAAAAAGAAAAATTAAGTAAGAAAACGTGTATTTTCTTATTCGTGTTATAAAATAATTTTTAATCACTAAAACATCGTATAAAAATGAGTCCATTCTACTTCGATCAGAGAATAAGATGATGCACCACCCCTTTTCTACTTCTTCCTCTTCTTTTTTCCCTCTCTCTAGCTTCTGTATCAGAATGTTATAAAATTTAAAGTGTGTAACATCTAACTAGGGCCACTATTAAAGCCTAGTGTACCGGAAAGTTGGGAAATCGCCTTTAAAATATTCACCTCGCCCATCTAAAAATTAGGTGAGGCACAGCATCTCATAGGATGAGGTCACAGCATCTTCAATTGGATCCAGCAACCTTCATTTAAGCCACAAAATAAAATTAACAGAGTTTTTTACATTAAAAATAAAAATTCTTTGTGCTAATTTATGTCAAATTAATTCTAAAAATAGCCGAAGACGAGTTGCGTAACTTTCCCGGCAAGAGTTAAAATCGCGTATGGCTCCATCTGTTATCATATTTTTTTATTATTTATTATCATAAAATGACAAAAAAACTTAATTTTGAGAGTAGAGATAAGTTTTATCTTTAAATAAATATTTGTAAATGTTAATAACGAGTAAAAACTATTAATTAAATCCGACCCCGTTCTAGATATGGCACATAATGGCACCACTTCTATCTTCTCATTCCCTCGACCTTTAACCACCAAAATTTAACAGCATCAACTTCCCTAATACACAAATCTCCCTGCAAAATTTCATAAAATTTCGACAAAAGACACAGAAGTTATTAAGGTTCAAATTGGATGAAAGAAGTCATCTGTGTATAGATCAGTTATACATACGTATTAACTAGAATTACAATCATTTATTTTGTTTCCGTTTATCTGAAATTAGAGACCGAAATCCTAATACTAGATGAAAGAAATTAAATATATTTGTAACTAATCTGGACATAATTTTTTTCCAGTGTTCGGGCAAATTACAATGTTATAGGACATTCATCGTAACCTTCTATAGCTTCTATATAAATGAATATTTGACATTTATTATAATAGAAATTACATTTAAATTTATGAAAGTTAAGGCTTTATATAAGGCTCGTTTTGGTCTGATAAAATAAGGCAACTCAACACGAGCGATATTCAAAGAGGGAGGAAAACCTTTTTACCCTATTTAAATGGTAATTAATTAAAGTAATAATACCTTAATACTCCTGTAATTTATATGTTTCATCTGTTATGAACGGGTGTACGCTATATACAGTGTCCGCCGAATACAGGTTTTAATGTAATTCCCTTTAAAATTGTCATTTACTTCGCCTTCATTTTCTCAGCACATCGTAAACATTTTAGAAAAATATTCGCAAGAGGAAAGTAACTTACATATATATATATATATATATTTTTTTTTCTATGAAAATTTTTGAAGAGATTCTTCCTAAAAATTGCTATAAAATCTTAAAATTTCATGTTTATATACATTCGGTTTCGCTGCTGAAATATTAAAATAACATGACAATAAGAATTGTAAATTATATGGAAGTAGTTTCACGTTCGGAAATTCATGAATAATTTCTATTTCGAATATATATATATTTTAATAAACGCATAAAATTACTTGATATAATGGAATTTGGGATTTAACACCCTCCTACAAGATTTTAGTTTACAATTGCATAAGGGGGGAACAAATTTATTAAATATATTAAACTATATGAAGTCAATTTCGAATAGAAAATCTCAGAAAATGAGCTTAACTTCAGGAGGAGTAGGAGGATAAAAGATGGAGAATTCTATTAAAATCGTTTAAAATAGGAATTACACGGACATTCTTCAAATAAATATTCTTCAAATCGTGAAAAAATACTGTTTAGGGTCTGAGTCAGTTAGAAATGTGTTCAGAGGGAACAAACGGGGCACACTGTTTTACTAACATTTATGAACAGACAATTTAATTATTTATTGCTCTAGCTAGTTATAATTTTTTCACACGAATAGTTAAATTTTGAAGGTCCCCTCCTGAACCGAACGATTCAAACAAATATACATAAAAGATATTCTGAAATGATTTTGTTTCCTGGCTGTTATATAACAGAGAAGTTATTGATGTGTTGTTATGGGCACTATTTTATCTATCCACTTTGAAATTTAATAACTCCTGTGCCTTTTGTCAAAAATTTCTGAAATTTTGCAGGAAGATTTTCTTTTAAGCTGGATCGATATTCTCAAATTTTCATGGATAAAGGTCAAGGGGGTGAGGAGATAGAAAGGATCGCGTGTTGTATCTCTAGTAGGGTCGGTATTAATAAAGAATTTACTCGTTTGCAATTTTATTATAAAACTCGCCTCAATCCTCGGTTTTTTTGCCATTTTTTAATAAGTAATGATATAAAATGTATTTTAATAAATGGCTCCATACACAATTTTAACTCTTACCGGAAAAGTTACGCAACTCGTTGCTGGATATTTTATTATAGATACCACACAGTACATATCTATAGTCTGGAGTTTTTTGGAGTTGATCCTTCCTTGAAGTGTTTAATTCTCTTTCTACATCTTCCATCTCTCTTCTAAGTACAAATATACACAAAATAGACAACATAAAACATTTTTTGTTTCATTGCGGATGCATTAAATGATCTTTGTTTTATTATATAATATTGAAGAATAATAGGGAATCCTCAGAAGACTACGCTAATAGTTTTTAGCAGCTCTTAATATATACAAGAAAAATATAACTAATCTTATTTTCCTACAATAAACAAGTCGCGACATGGAGAGAAAGAGAGAGAGAGTACACAAGACATAGGGAATTTAACTAAGTTGATTTAATTTTCTTCAAAGAAAATTTGTAAAGTTAAACAAAAAGAATTATGTAAAAATATACAAAATTTTCTCAAAAATTAAAATGGAAAACAGTAAACAATTCGTAATTTTAAACAGAAAAAATTTTTTTCCTCCAACTCTTTTCTTCTATTGTTTAAGAAAGATGCGACAAATTCACTTGATTTAAATATAATTTATTTATTAAATTTCTCTATAAATAGAAATAAATACGAACAAACCTCCGAACAACGGCCACTGATGGAAACATATAAAAATGTCCGTTGTTTGAGGGTTGTTTTCAACGCATTTTTATTCAGAACAAACAAAAGTTATGAGTTAATGTCCGTTATTACAGGTTCGACTCGAAAATAATTTCTTTATCCATAAGAATTTTTAATCAATGTTTTAATTTGTTGCTTTCAAAACGAATTAGTAAGTTAACATCATAATAATTTATATCATTTACTTAATTATTAAATATCTTTAATTAGTATACATTAAACACAATAATATAATATCTCAAGATTATTTATCTTCAAATAAATCGATTTAAATGTTTCATATATAATTTATCAAATTGAATTCTCGTGTAATATACTAAGTTACAAAGATATACATTTTCAAATTTCGATTTAATGCCAGCATTTGTTTACCTTTAAAACTGGCATTAAATCGAGATTGGTGCTAAATTGAAGTAACTTAATGAGAATTATATACCTAAGTTTGAATTTGAGGGCCTTACAGAGTTAATAATTATTATTTTAAATATTTTAGAGTAAGAAATAAACGAAATTTATAGCATGTTGCGTGCTAAAAAAAATTCCTCACAAGTGCTCCTATGGCACAATTGCCAGCCAATCTTCTTCTGGATCTTAATTATATTGATAAAATGTGACCCTAAGTTGGATCGACTAGCGTAAATGAATGATGAGTAAATAAATAAAAAAATATATAGAGAAATTCTCATAAACAAGATAATTCATCAAAAGATATCAGACATTGTAGATCTGGAGCAATGTCTATTGTAGCAGGCATAAGGGTCTTCAAGTGTCTTCTTCGTTATTGCTGTTATTTATAAATTCATGCATCGAAGTTTTCTGAATATAATTCATCTAAATAATGCAGTAATTTAAAATATTGCATGACATTAAGAAAGTTCGAGATATTACAGTATATTGCATATTATTTAACAAATTTTACAACAGGTGAATTGTTGCTCTCTTTATTCTTCAAGGTTTCAAACGTTGAAATTTCGAAGATTTCAAAGAATAATTAACAATATTCATGCTGTCATGTATTATGCATGTTAAGAGCTTAAATATTTATACATTCATCAGAATTATTTTCATTTAAATCCATTTAATGTATCTGAATTTAACCTACTTTTATAATGTAAAGTTTGAATGTAAATGTAGTAAAACCTGGTTAAAACGAAACATAATGAAACTAGCCGAAATTTTCCGTTTTATAAAGGCCACGGTTTTATTAATGCAGAAGCAACTGGTACCCAAAAGTTTATACGTTAGACTGACTTCTAATACCATCCCTTCTACCCAAAGGAAAAATGTAGATCATAAAATATTCATTTTTAAAAATAAGTATGAATTTTACAGAAAAATTTCTTAAAAATGCATTAAATAACAAGTAATTATCAGAAATAAATCTCAAAATAAGCGTTAAATTCTTCTTGAAATTGAAGATTACCTGAATAAAAGATCTTTCAAACATTAATCTTCTACATCTGAATAATCAAAGTAAATGCAAGGGAGATTATTTCGATCAATTACTACACGTTTACAGATGAATTTACTAAATTTTTGTACGCATTAAGAAAGATTTATTCAAGGATTCAGTTAATGTAGTACAAATAATTGCATCGATCATTAGTTAATTAATATAGAAAGAAAAAGTAAAAGCCATTTGTTATTTATCGTTCGATACTTGTTAGAAAGCTGACATTCTTCTTTACAAGTATGTAAATCTCCCCTTCTGGATCCATACGTAATAATTTCAAAAATTGCTTCTATACGCTACTAGTAGCCGAGTGGATAATACCTCTAAACACTAGTACTGGAACACTTTTCTGGTTTTCTTTAGAATTACAAAGCATAAATTAATTTAAACTTATGGCCCTAAGCTATAACATAAAACATGCCCTTACCCTTCACCAAATAATGATACATATAAAAATGGAGTGGCCCTAAACTACAACACGTAAAGGGCCTTACCATCACCAAATGATATAAGACAAGGATCCCTTGACGTCAATGGAATTTTGAAAGGGATCGAGGGACTGAAAAGGTCAATGAAAAATGAAATAATTTTCAAATAATATCTATCATATACGAAATTAATAAATAGTTTACACGTTATATTACGAAAAATTTTAAAGGGGTCGATCGAAGTGAATATTTTTTTTTTATGAGGTCCCTATATAGAACTGAAAACAGTACTTACAGCTGTGTATATTCCACTGGCAATACTCCCACTTCTAACACTTCTCCAGCAACAACATGACTTAAGCAAAGGCATCATGAAGTAAAGATGTAAAGAGGAGAACCAATGCGACTGACACAACCACGTGTTCTCCTCCTACTTATTAACTAGATGTCGCGTGAAAGATGGAAAATGATTGGTCGCTGTCATCCCTATTCACTTGATATTACTTTATTTTAGTAAATAACAATAATAAATTTGATAATTTCGATATTTTTATAGTGTTAAACCTCATAACATTTATTTATTTTACAGGATATAGAGTAAATTGTTTGGAATAATGTAAAAAGTGAGCTTAGCTATTTTATTGTTTATTTATATTGTCATTAATAAAATTTAAATGAAAGGAAACTTTCTTTTGTTGTTTTAAAATTGTATTATAATAAATATTTATTTTTTATTTTAATTTTATTTAAGATTTAATANTTTAATCACTAAAACATCGTATAAAAATGAGTCCATTAAAACACAGAGGAAGCTGTATATCTAGAAAATAAATTTAACATAAATAAAGAAAAACAAATTAAATTAATAGATAAATTTACTTAAAACACTTACATTTAGAGCACAAATGAACAAATCTATGATAAATAATATTGCTAGAAACGGATCGAAAATCTAGAAAAATACATTTAAATTCGTTAGTTACATAAATGGATGATCACATAGTCAAAATGAAACCTCGATATATCGCCACCCTGGTAAAGCCCCCCAACGAACAGATCTCTCTTAACAAATAATACAGAATCCTTCATTATATGTGAATTACCAACTGTACGATTTTGTTTCAAGCACTTTCCAGTGATGTAAAATCGAGGTTTCGTCGTATATAAACATTAAAATATATCGTTTAAGTCTTAATAATAATATACAATAAGGTATTCCTTACATAAACAAAGGCACTTACGGCATCTTTTATGATGAAAAATGACCGCGTATGAAGACATATATTACAGTATTAATTCCATTTAAAAAAAACAGTTATTATGAACTGAAAGCAGATATCTGCAAAATAAACTTTTAATATGAATACAACATGGATTGATGCGTGGAGAAAATCAAAATATGGTGGAATTTGTGAAATGTAAAGTGTTTTACATTTACACTGCAACACTTTAATGTAACTCCTTAGAAAGAAATCTGAAGGAATCATGCCTGAAGACCTTCGGGCCACTATCTATCGGGCATACCAAACCACGACCTGCTTTTTCTCCTGCGGCGAAGCCACGAGTGTACAGTATAGTATATTAATGCTCCTACTTTACTATAACATTGTAATATAATATAACATTTGAGTATGATACGACTGATTTTCTGTTTTACCAATGTTCAATTCTTTGTGAAAATATGTTTATCCATGCCCACAATGCCGTACATCGAGGACCGTGAATATTTCTGAGGTTTTGACTGGCCTTTTTGAGGTTCTGGGTCCTTTATCATCTCAGCTAGCCGAACGTGTCGACCCATTTTATTTCAGCTTATTGTCATTAAAAGTAATGGTAATTAATAATAAATAATAATAAACTTCTCTTTATTTAAATATCATTTAATTACAATTTAATGGAAATTTTAAATTTAATGTATTTCATAATCTGTAGAAATGGCTAAATTCATAAAAGAAAAATAAATCAATCAATTTGAGTAACTTCACTGCTTCAAACAACACTATGCTAACAGACAGCTTCTTAATATATTAATTTAATTAATACATGGATTTATTTTATTTTTCTGGTGAGAAATACCTTAATATTTTCCCATTTTAATGGTAAAATCTTTAGTTTTAGAGTGGGTACAGTATTTTGTGTGGACAATTGATTTGTTTCGTTATGATCGGTTTGACTTCTTTCTTCCGAAATTACAGTTAATTCAGTGTAAGGATTAGATTTTGCTGAAAGGAGTGATGTCTTTCTGTTGACATCACTTAAAGTCGGAGGTTCTGATGATGGATTCGGAGAGACACTTCGAGTGTATTTTTGGTAACTATCAGCTTTCTGATTTATCTGAAAAATAACATTATATAAGTCATTTATATAAATTAACAATTAATTCTTCATACTTAATTGCAAAAACAAATGATCAAATTAATAATCCCCATACGATTTACAAGGCGATTAATTCATACGTATGCAAATGATCTCTTTGCGTGTTCCTGTTTTACATAATATTACGACTTTTGAAGTGTTTCATTAATTATTTTAGCACTTGATAATGATTGCATAATAAATTGAACTGATGGAATAAGACGATAGGGTAGAGCTACACATACTAGAGTTCATCAATGGTACTTCAGCCTGGTGAGAAATTTTCAACTTAGAGATGACACTGGAAAAGGTTGAAAACACTGGAATGCATTTTAAAGAACGGCCAAGGATCTACCATTTGAAAGGACTTTCTACGTGCAACTAGTTCATATTCAGGTGTCAGACACTGAAAAACAACACGTGTCCAATCCCTTCTTCACGAGTGAACGAACCCGTGATCAACTACCAATTTTAATTTATAATCTATATAATTGAAGTTATTGAAATATGAAAAATATTTTAATAGAGAGCTGCATGGTTTATTGAACTCTTTCATATTTATTTCATAAATTTTTCGTGAAAATACCTTGTTAAATTTATTCTATCCAATGATCTCAGATATAAAAAGATTTTAAGAAATTCAATTTTTATCTTTTTAAAATATTATCTCTTACTAATTTTTAATGAATTTCTGTTATAAATAAGATATTATTATTATTTTTTTAATTCCTGCAGTAACCAGTAACCTGCAGTAAGGTTTAACTGTACAACGATTAACTGTTTATTGTTTATTATATTATGCATACAAACCTGATTTCTCATGTTATCATTATTAATCTGTAATGTTAATTCCTGGTACAATGATAAAACACAGAGGAAGCTGTATATCTAGAAAATAAATTTAACATAAATAAAGAAAAACAAATTAAATTAATAGATAAATTTACTTAAAACACTTACATTTAGAGCACAAATGAACAAATCTATGATAAATAATATTGCTAGAAACGGATCGAAAATCTAGAAAAATACATTTAAATTCGTTAGTTACATAAATGGATGATCACATAGTCAAAATGAAACCTCGATATATCGCCACCCTGGTAAAGCCCCCCAACGAACAGATCTCTCTTAACAAATAATACAGAATCCTTCATTATATGTGAATTACCAACTGTACGATTTTGTTTCAAGCACTTTCCAGTGATGTAAAATCGAGGTTTCGTCGTATATAAACATTAAAATATATCGTTTAAGTCTTAATAATAATATACAATAAGGTATTCCTTACATAAACAAAGGCACTTACGGCATCTTTTATGATGAAAAATGACAATCCAATATCCAGAAAAGTAGCAATCGATACAGAAACCAGCCAAGGGATTAACAAGATAGTGTTTTTCTATAAAATTCATTTAAATTAATTTGTAAATTTAATTTAATAATTTAAAAAAAAATCGTATATTTACCTTTGACAATGCAATCAACAGTAAGATTGAGAATATCACACAGATTGCTGATAAAATTATAAAAACAATAGAAAATGCTAGAAGAGCTATTTAAAAATTAATTTAATTAATCAATTAAATATGTTTAAATTAATAAAATTAGTAAAAATTATAACAAAAGTCTTACCTGGAGGATTATCTGTTAAACATATGTGATAAGTGCCAACAATGAACAATACGGAATATAAAATCTGTAAAAAAAAACATTTATATTTATAATTTAATTTTACAACTTTAACTTTATTTTTATTTTAAAATGTTTTTAAAAATTAATTTTTAAATCTTTCTTGTTAATAACTAAATTAGGAATTAAGAAACACCAGATTAAATATACAGCGTATGTTCGATTAAAGTAAGTTTCAGTAAGACCAGTAAAAAGGTTTCAGTGGGATCAGCAGGAAGAGGTTTCAGTGGGATCAGCAGGAAGAGGTATCAGTGGAATCAGCAGGAAGAGGTTTCAGTGGGATCAGCAGGAAAAGGTATCAGNAGCTTTCCCTCTCGTTTAGTGTAAGTAAAATCAATATTACTTATCCAGAAAGTTATTAAATTATCACAAACACGAGTTTCATTTTTGTTAAATTAATCAATGTGCCAAATGTGGTTATAGTTAAGAACAATTCCGTGTCATCTACCATGTATTAAGTCATTTGTTTAATCTATATTGTCGAAGTTACCTTGTTTGCACTATATATACAATATAGTAAACTCAAACCTGTCACTATTATTATTAAGTGTTAAACTTACTTTTTAAACACTGCAATAATTTATAAACATCTTCCTAATTTCGGCTCCATTTTTAATCATTTTTTAATTTAAAAAAACACGTCACTTCCCCTCCAAAAGGAAAGTTTGTACGTTGTTAACCGTCTCCAGCCCCTAAGATTTTCACATACAACTGATGACCAATTACAACGATGATACTGCTGATAATCAATTTGACAATAATACTGATCAGTTTCTTCGGCCATATTGGAAACTAAATCGATTTCAATGTCCTTCAATAATCTCTCATAAAAGCAATTATTTGTTATTGTTTATTCTCATTAAGGTGAAATGTGTCATTGTAAATCCTAAAATAATAATTCTTATCGATCCTGAAGTCGTAATTGTTTAATATTTATAAATGTGATCCTTTTATAAATATGGCGGCGCGTGATGGTTATTACCAATTATACTACTTTTACGTTTTCAGAGTCTACATAATAACTTGTCACTCTTGTCAGACTAAACTACACACTTTAACTCTTATTTAATTTAATTATTTTACACGGTACTTTAATTTAATGCCACGTTTGCTTCACTGCCAATTTCAGAGTTCGAATAGTGTTTTTATTTGTAGGTTTGAAAAACCCTGAGATAATAAAGAACCCAAATCAAACACGAATATAAAAGATTCATCCTTCTCTGAAAGTCACAGAAATACACACACAAAAAATAGACTGTTTTGGCCACGGAATAGACGAAAATTTTAATTTACATCACTTTTATATAATGTTTTTATTATAAATGTTGAAGCCTTTGTTCGAGGTGAAAATCAAAGAACTGTACTCGCAAGCCTCTATCTCGGGAACTCATCACTTGTATTTTGTAAAAATTAATATCAATAAGAGAGAGTAAGGTTTTAGTGCAAGAAAACAATAAGAATAGAAAAACTAAGGTGTTAGTAAGAAGTGAGAAACAAATAAGTGAGTAACAAAGAAGTCAGCAGGTAAGAGGAGAGAAGCAAAGAAGTCAGCAGGTAAGAGGAGAGAAGCAGATAAGTCAGCAGGTAAGAGGAGAGAAGCAGATAAGTCAGCAGGTAAGAGAAGAGAAGCAGATAAGTCAGCAGGTAAGAGAAGAGAAGCAAAGAAGTCAGCAGGTAAGAGGAGAGAAGCAGATAAGTCAGCAGGTAAGAGAAGAGAAGCAGATAAGTCAGCAGGTAAGAGAAGAGAAGCAAAGAAGTCAGCAGGTAAGAGGAGAGAAGCAGATAAGTCAGCAGGTAAGAGAAGAGAAGCAGATAAGTCAGCAGGTAAGAGAAGAGAAGCAAAGAAGTCAGCAGGTAAGAGGAGAGAAGCAGATAAGTCAGCAGGTAAGAGGAGAGAAGCAAAGAAATCAGCAGGTAAGAGGAGAGAAGCAGATAAGTCAGCAGGTAAGAGGAGAGAAGCAAAGAAATCAGCAGGTAAGAAGTGAGTAAAAATAAAAATCAAAATTTATATTGATTACGAAATAAAGAATATAATTCCTGTGAATTTTTATTATGTGTTTCTCTAAAAACATCTTAAAATAATAAGAGATATTTTTTAACTTTTACAAAAACCTTTAACTTTTTTTAATTCTAGTAAATGAAAAAATTAATACTTCATATTAAATTTCTTCTTTTATTATAATTAACTCTTGTATTTTTTAAAGAAGAGAAAGGAAGAAAATATTAAAATTATGTAATTCAAAACAACAAAAGGTACTAGATACAATTTATAGTTTCTATTTTAATTACATAAAGATAATAGAGTTAAAATTTAACACGCAAATAAAATTATAAGATAACGTTGGAAAATTCTGATGTCTTAATGCAGAATTTTCAGTTTACTTATATAATTAATTTTATCCTAGAGATAAGTGTAAATTCTATATAAGCAACACAAAATTATAAAATTTCTTACAACATTCCCTTATAATTTAAATACAGAAAAAAACGCTAGTTTTGTTTCTAATTTCTTCTTCTATGGTTCAAGAACTTCAGAAAGCTTCTTGTTCTAGAAAGGTAAGATGACACAAAAATAGTTTTAGCCCTCTCTTTATCCATAGAAATAAAAATATACAAAAATAAATCTTTATTATCATGTTTTTTTCCATGAGAGGTTAATTTTTAGAAAACATTTATAATTAAACCTACACCTACCTGAATCTCTTCTCTTGCTTTTCTCACGAGTACATCTGTACCCAAAACATAATCTGCTGTATCTCTTCCTTGCTTTCCTCATGAGCATGTCTACACCCAAATCACAATATACTGAACCTCTCCCTTTCTTTCCTCGCGAGTAAGCCTAAGTAGAGACGTTTCTTGAATTCTTCCCAATTTATTCTTCCCTTAACTGTGTATTTAGTCGAGAAATCGAGACACGTAACACGAATATTTAATTTTATTAATATCAAATATTTATAAAATTAATAAGGAAAATATTCTCGTTAGGTTTGTTTATAGATAACAACTTGTTATATAGAAAAATGTTAAAATGATGCTTCTTAAAAGCTTTCCCTCTCGTTTAGTGTAAGTAAAATCAATATTACTTATCCAGAAAGTTATTAAATTATCACAAACACGAGTTTCATTTTTGTTAAATTAATCAATGTGCCAAATGTGGTTATAGTTAAGAACAATTCCGTGTCATCTACCATGTATTAAGTCATTTGTTTAATCTATATTGTCGAAGTTACCTTGTTTGCACTATATATACAATATAGTAAACTCAAACCTGTCACTATTATTATTAAGTGTTAAACTTACTTTTTAAACACTGCAATAATTTATAAACATCTTCCTAATTTCGGCTCCATTTTTAATCATTTTTTAATTTAAAAAAACACGTCACTTCCCCTCCAAAAGGAAAGTTTGTACGTTGTTAACCGTCTCCAGCCCCTAAGATTTTCACATACAACTGATGACCAATTACAACGATGATACTGCTGATAGTCAATTTGACAATAATACTGATAATAATCAGTCAGGCTGATGTTCAAATTGATCATGAGATCGATAATCGATCTAACTGATCAATTAAAATCTTACTTTCAACTGATTATCAGTCACATTAAGACTTCTGTCTGAGGAGCGTTATAAACACTGTTATTATAACAATAAGTATTATATAAAATTCCTTAATAAATAAATTTAAATTAACGATTTTACTAATTTATTTTATTAAATTTAAAAAACAATTTCTTAATTCTAAATTATTCCAAAGGCTAAATTATTGTATGAAGCCATTGTTTACATTAAGTGTTAATTAATTTATTATTCGCCGCGATATTTTATTTTTATTTAATTAATTAATTTATTATTATATAAATTTAAGGAAATTCTCTGATAAAATAATAAAATGAAATACTAAATATTATTATATTACATATTTTTTGTGATATATTTTAATATATCACACAAAATAGCTTTACTTACACTAAAATTTATAATAATTATAATTATACTATAAATGTTTATTAATAGTTATTGTATTATTCAATAGGTGGTATTAAGGCTCTTTTGGGCCTCTGTTATCATAAATCATTTGAAGAATTTGGACTTTCTCCAATATTGTTTAGAAGGAAACATCTAGCTCATTACTATGAACCCGAACTTAGGAAAGAGCCTGTTATATATGACGAAAAAGGATATCCAATTAATCCAAAAACGTAAGGGTTTAAATTATATTTTCTAAAATAATCTGTTTATGTAACTGAAATTGTCTGTTCAACTCTTTCCTGCTATCTATCTGTTCACTCTTGGTTTCGGGCTTTCCAATAATTTGTATATCTCACCATTACAATATTCTCTACCTTTCTATCCATTTCCACAAGATAAGTATCAAGACTTGATTGATCTACTTTCTTCTGTTATTTACTTTACCAATCCAACATAATTTTGATATAATGTATCAATTTCTGCTATTGCCAAGTGAGACCAAATATATTTTATTTTACTGTAATTTCTCTTCTGATTCCTCAGGCTTGGAAGACTATACAGTTCCTTGTTAGTATCATATTCTTACCTATTATCCTTATATCCATCTGATAACCTTATAATGATGCTTTACCTCCAATATATTTTAACTCTCTCCAACCTCTTCCAATTGGATAAACAGATCTCCAGACCAAAGCAAAATATGCTACAAATTACACACAGGAGTCTTTGGATAATCTAGGCAGGGTCATTAGATAAACTGTTACTGCACTCCCTAGCTTTAAGTGGTTAGGAAGATCTGATTTCAATAGAAGGCATTGTTGTTCCAATCTTCTTGGTTCTCATGTGCATCATTTGTTTGTGTGCTTCTTCTACAATAGAATATTCAAATTGCTTGAAGAAAACTTGGAATTTTACTTTGTTAAGAAATTTTTCTATAATTGGCAAAAGTAAGTCGAAAATGTTTAAATTGTATTAGATTACGACTTGTTAAGATTGAAAGTGTATAAGTTTTATTTCGTATTTTATTTTAGGTTAACAAAGTTTAGTAGTAACTAAATCCCACTTATATGACACACTACATAACTTTAGTACTTCTATTTTATTAGTTACCATATGTTCATATTAGTACAGACAGTCCATACTTTAAANCATGAAAGGACGTAATAAGAAACTTTTCTTTTATTTTTATCATTGTCTTTTATTATTTTATTCTAATGAGAAGAATATCAAATTACACGTTCTTCTTTAATTATAGATAAAAAATATATATATATATATGAAAGTTTAATGAACAATTAAAGACAAAAATATAAATCGGGAAAGATCTTTAATCCGTTTTTGATCGAAGAATTCATAAAATATCTAAACGAAGATCCAAAGTTTTGATGATGTTGCATGTAATAATTATTAAAAATCATATTTAATCGAAAATACAGAGTAACTAAATGCATTTAATTAATTCTAAATATTAATTTGAGGTATTTTCTCGTCTCCATGTTTAATTTATTCAACAAAACGTTCGACTTTTAAACCAAACTGATGCTGCGCATTATATTCGAATTTGCGATAGAAAAATTATTTTAATATGTTTTTAAAGACAAAAATTAAATATATTCTTAGATGAATCGAGAAGAATTTATTGAGGGGGTAAGGAGTTTATTCACAAAAATACTTTGAAGTACGTTTAGATGAGAGAGTGGGTTGATGGGATGCTACACAATACGTAGGCGATCTGTCAATAGAATGCTTCCCAGGGGGAATTTCTATAAGAAACCACTCCGATTTTAGTCATAAAAACGTATTAAAACCGGATAACTTCATGCTGCTATCCTGTTGGTGAGGTACGAACCCACGACTAATTTAGTCTTTATTAGCTTTAACTTATTGGTGGGTGTTTAGATGAGGGAAAAACAGAAACTTGATATAGAAAGACTTAAAAATAGCATACAGGAAAGTGTAAGGCTTAAAAGTCTAATACAGAACAGTAGAGAGGCATAAAAATTACATAAAAAACAGCACATAGTCTCGATATATTCGAATGAAACCCCTTTAGTTCTGTATCTCCTATATTCTATTTAATTTAATTAAATAAACAAAATTAAAATATAAATTAACTAAAATATCTTACAATTANAAATGTTAAGTTATAAACTATTAAATTTAAAAACCCGAATAATAATATTAATTTTGAAACGATAAAAAGTTAAACATAAAAATGTGTGATCCAGAAATGATAAAGTAAATTAACAAGAATCTATAATGACGTTTTCTTTTCGTTAATTTTATAAAATAGAACAATCTTTTTTTTTCTTAATACGATTATTACATAATATGTTAATCTTTAAGTTTTTATGTAAGTTATTCAGATTCTTATCTTTTAAATTTTAGCATCAACTCCCATTTTTCTTGTAAATTCGCTTAAAATTTATGAAAATGATTGGTGAAAGTATGTTATCCTATCTATTTAGTGAATAAAAATACATCTTCTGATTGTAAAACACGATTTTTTTTCAACATTCAGAAATTCCTCTTCGTAATAAGTAATGTAAACTGTCACCTTATTGGGCAAAACCGTGTTTTGAAATGCATCTTTTTACAATTCAAATGATTTAGTATAGTAATTATAATTCTACTAGTGTTTGCAATTTTTTAAAATCTCTGCGTAGGAAATATTTTAGATGATCTATTAAATAGGATCCCCATTATGTCAAACAGGATAATGTAACTTAGCTCGAGTCAATATGGGGTTTTAAATCATTAAATTCAATATAGAAGGATGATGAGACTAAAACTGTTTAAAAAAACATTTAGTAGAATAATTTTAAATATATACATAACATAATGTCATGCGTGTAAAAAGTAATAAAATCTCTTAAGTGAACTAACCATGACAACAAGATTTTTCAATAAACGTCCTTCATCGCTTCTTCTTCTTCTTCTTCTTTTTCTTCTTTACTTAAAATATGATTCTTTAAGTCAAGAATTATTATTAATAAATAGTTTAATGTTCTGAGAAAACTTGAAACTTTATAATTACTTTGAATTTAAAGAAGAAATCACTTTAATATGAAAGCTCAGGTATCGGGTATCTTTCATTTTCTCGTGTTTCTGTTTAATCCCAATCCATTTTTTAAAGAAAAAAAAGAATTAGATAAAAAGTGGGGTGAGGAAATTTATAAATTATTAGAAAAAATTATTGCTTGTATACCGAGTGGTTACTACGACATTTTCCTTACTTTTCAGTAAAATAGTCATATCTTCCGTCACTTAGATCACAATAAAGTCTATATATACAGAATATGTTTTTATATAATTTTAGCATCCTTCTCTCTACAGTTTTCCTTTATTTTATCCATGTAATCCTGAGAATGATACTAAAATAGGGAATATCCTTCCTCGTTCCTGTAATCTAGACCAGTGTTCCGCAACCTTTTTCTACTCGCGGCACACCTATGACTCGAAATGATTCAACTCGGCACACCAAAATGTTATTCCCCTCAAAAACTTATGATATGATACTATTAGTGGAATTTCGTAATGCCATAAACCTATTATTATTATGTTGAGTTTTGTGAGTTATACTCGAGACACCGATGGCTGTGTACTGTGCCGGACCAGAGTCAAAGAATAGTAACCAAAACAAGACAAAAATTAAATAAGTGTGTCAGTGTGTGTGTCTGTATTCAGGAATTTCCTAACAATATGACATGCATTCAATGTAGTGGCCTTCTGTAGTGTGATGTGTGTTTCTATTCAATTTTAATGTTCCCAGGCTTTTGTGTAGCGTGTGTGGTATGACACCTTTAGAGGAGAGAACGACAAGTACAATAAGCACCCTCCATCCATCCTCCGTACATGCTTTATTTCCTGGGCGAGTTCTGTGTACTGTACTTGCTGATTTTTTCACTGCATGTGTTTTGTACATTGTGAGTATTTAGAACAGATATGTCTATAATGTATATGATTTTATTGTGTTTGTCAATGAGTGTGATGTCTTGTCTGTTGTGGTAAATTGTTTTATCTGTGATTATGGCTGTTGTAGTACATTTTGTGCGTGTTGTTTTCCAATACTGTCTGTTGAACGTATTTGTAGTATGGTTCATGGATGTCTAATAATTTGTGTTTCTTTGCAAGCTCTTGATGTATTTGCTACTTGATTATGTCTATGTAAATTATCTGTCTACCAAGAGCTTGCAACCAGATGTGATGTGTTGTATGGTTTCTGGCATGATGTGACATTTTCTGCATGTGTCGTTTGTGATTGTTGTATCTTTGAGTACGTGTTTTCTGTAGTTTTTAGTATTTATGTCCTGATCCTGCATGGCAATCATAAATCCTTCCGTCTCCCCAAAGAGTCATCCCCGAGCTAACTAGCTCTTTGACGCAGTTTTTTCAACAAAATCCTGGGGCAGGTCATAGGGATGTCTGCCATGGAGTACCTTTCGCACCCATGATTGCTTAATGGTGTCTATGCTATTTATATGTTGTGTCGTGTCCATACGTTGTGAATGTAAATTTAATAGTGTATTATTTGAATCTGCTAGAATTACTGCTTTTTGTAACTGTGATGTTTCTTGTTTTTTGTAGAAAAACTCTCGCAATGTCTGTATTTGTTTGTAGTGTAGATTAACTATGTCGATCAGGCCAAGTCCGCCAGTTTTAGGTGAAAAAATTAATATTTTTATGGCTGATTTAGGATAATGTTGTTCATGCTTAGTAAGTGTTGTTCTCGTTTTCATTTGGAGTTGCTCAAGATCTGTGTGAGTCCAATATATAACTCCAAAAGAATAAGTGAGTACTGGGACGACATATATGTTTTATTGCTTTAACATCATCTTATTTCATCAGTGAATGAAATAGAAGCATAAGAAACACAACAACTGTGATATAAATATATATAAATAAAGCCTGAAATTAATAGAATCATGTAAAAGTTTACGTCACACCCTTCACCTTGTGACGGCACACTGGTTGCGGAATACTGATCGCGGAACACTGATCTAGACAATGATACTAAAATAGGGAACATCCTTCCTCGTCCCTGTTGATTTTACTTTTAATTGTGTTTATACTGAACTATCAATACGTTTTTATTGAATATAAACAGTTTTATGTCGCTCTTTTGTTTAATATTCTACAGTTTTACACGAGCGGTTAACTTGACTTCACCCTCTGAAAATATTATTAATAAACACAAACTTTATTAGAAATTTGAGAATATATTTAATTATATATCTCCCAATTATTTTTCTCCATCGTTAATTAAAATCATATTTCAAAATGTATTTTTGTGTCATCTCGGGAATTACTTCAAATTACAAAGAAAAAAAATTCTTGATTGGTTCTTAAGCTTTTGAAAATATTGTTAAGAAATATTTTCAAACTAATTCTAATATTTCACAAATAATTATTGTTAAATTTAATGTGATATTAATTAATTTAAAATTTTAGAAAAATAAAATTTTTTTTGTAAATTAACACGTGAAAAAGGCAATTGTTTATGACCAATATCTTCAGAATTGTGTATAATAGTTATCTTCGATGTATCTTCAAGTCTATAAGGGAGGAAAAAATATCAATAAAGTGATATTTAATAGGATTTTAACGAAGGATTTAACTTTTTTTTTCTTAATTTTATACTCGTCCCTTTCCCAGTACTTATGTGTTTGTTTTTATTGGCCAAAAAAGCAGTCGAATAAAATATTTGAGATTATTTTTATGCTAGTAGTAATTAGAAGAAATTTTTGGAAGTAAATGGGTTACGATTCCATTTCGTACCCTGTTACTTTGACACTATAATAATTAGATTTAATCAGAATAAGGTCTTGTTAGAAGATTACTTCTCTGCTATTAAATTGCAGAATCGATTGTTGGTATCAAAAACTCATTAGCTCTCTATTTCTCATACATTATTTTCTTTGTTTTCTTGACACTAAATGAGTTTTTTTTAAAGTAAACTGATAGAATCCACGTAAGAAACACGTGTACCGCGATTGTTGTATACATACAGCTATTTGTCACACACTTCTCGTCCTCCCCTCTCCGTCATTTTCTCAACTCTTCAGATATGCTTTGCCTATAATATAGTGCCCAAAAACACACTATCAATTGTAATTTATGTTAAATAATAATTTTAAAAATGTGGCATAAATATGTAACAATGAATAACATATGTGGCCTGAACTTTACCTATTATAAGCAAATTTAACATATGTAAGTGAGGAATAGCGATATTTTCGATTGCTCTTTAAAGCCATAGTGTTTTGAATTTGTATTTTATATTCTGACTCAACCTTCAATTCCCAGTACTTGAAATTGTTGTCTGACAATACTTGTTGCTACACTGGAGCAATGCTCCAATGCTCCAAATGCAGCATTGCTTCAAATGGTAGAAGCAAATTGCTCCAATGTTGCAATTTTCTTTTACCGATTCCAGTATCGCGTTATCCTATGGGCAAAACGGCAATAGCCTGGTGCGCCCATTAACAGGAGACCCCAAGCCAATCTATTATCAGAAATTACTTCCTCCAAAAAATACCCTCAAAAGAAAATGCCTGTATATAGAGCCCCCTAATTCAAATTTGCCTGAAAATGCCTGTATATGGAGTCCCCTAATTCAAATTTGCCTGAAAATGCCTGTATATGGAGCCCCCTAATTCAAATTTGCCTGAGTCCCATGAAGGTATAATGAGCCACTAATCACTTCCAAAATATCTCTACTTCATTACTTTATATAAAATCTTCGAATATTTCTATATTCTATTGTCTAAATGTTAATTATCTTTAATTATAAATTTGTTTTGGATATTAAACTTTATTCGCGTATAAATTAAATAAATTTCTATTCTTATTGTACAAAAGAGTTTTATTAATTGTTTCGAAGATTTATCTACACAAATGAATCATTCTACTAAATCAATTGTCTGTTAATACTAATCAAAACACTTGGAATACTCAACGTAGAATTAATTAAAATAATTTAAACTTTTAAATGAGTTATTGATTAAAATTCTTATTTAACGATTTATTATTTATTTTGGTTAAATAAAACAAAACATTTTTACTAATTCCTTCTATAAATACAGTCGACCCCCTATAACACTGTTGATTATTCCGTTTATATGAATTCCATGTTGTACGAGTCACTTAGATTTTACAAATACGTCAGCCGTTCACAGCCCGAAACATGTATTTGTAAAATCTAAGTGACTCGTACAACATGGAATTCATATAAAGCGGAATAATCAACAATGTTATAGGGGTGTCGACTGAATGTTTTATTGACGCCTATTTGGCATCAATAACCCATGAACACTAGGGATCGTGAATCCCAGTGTTCCCTCAAAAATTCGAATCCGAGAGGTCGAAGACACTAGAAATTTTTGGGGGTGATTTATCACAAATATGTTGCGCCCCATTATACACTTCTAGAATTTCTCAGTGTAAACTGTCGTAATTTTCGTTCATGACACATCAAATTGTCACCTGAATGAGTCACTGACTAATTGTATTTTAAACAATTTTTTTTAAAATAATAAGAATAATTTATGACGAGGTCATTTACATAATTTTGACCCCAAGCTTCTATTTCATAGATCGTCGAATCTCGTGCTCGCATCACTTCCTCTTACGTCATGCTTTCATCACTTCCTCTTATGATTGTGAATGACCTGTATGACGTATTATGCCCTATAATTTTAAATTAATCAGGATAAGCTAACAAATTACTCTTTAAATTTTATTAGGAAGTCATTCTTAACGTTTAAATGTAATTAAAATATAAAATAATAGGCTATAAGATTTCAAAATTTTAAATTCTTTCGTCTTATGTTGGATGACCTCCGTCACAAATCATGTTTTTCTCACGATAAGGATAAACCTCGACTCTCTAAAAATATGGCATCGCGTGTGAATGAACTCTGAGTCACATTTCAAGGGGGCACAATTAAATTTTATTATAAATTTATAGCTTAATTATAATAAAATATAAATATTTTGACACTACTCTGATTACTTATACTCAGATGTAAGCAAATTTTTGTAACCCATTGCATTGAGATAAAAGACAATGAAACGCATGAGTAATCTGTTATGGGTAAGTGCCTCCTGGGAAGACTTTCTATGAGAAACTGGCATCTATTCAGTGAATAAAACCCTGGAAAACTTCAGCTGGCTTGGTGAGGTGCGAACCAACGACCTATCAGAAACTACCCCCGTTGTGTTAGTAGACACGTAAAGAAAACTCGAGAAAACTGCAGCTGGCCAGCCACGGTGAGGTGCGAACCTGCGACCAACTATCAATGTTCTTATCCACACTATGATTTTGCAACTGAAAAACCCAACAACTGCCACGTGCTATGAATAGAATAGTTTAAATAAATAAATATTTTGTCTCATTATAGTTATAATATTGAAACACCCCTCCTGAAAATCCCACTTTATAGTTATCATATATAAAGTCAAACATCTAAACAACTGCCACTGAAGGTAATTGTTTACAGGTTATTTTACAGGAGAAGCATACCTGAAAATGGCAGCCATTTACAGGTATAGTCGATATTAGAGGTTCGACTGTATATATTTATAGTGTAAAGTACGTCATTTATTCATAAAAGAATTAAATTCTGCGATAATTTATAAAATATTTTAACTACGTTGTATTTTATCTGCAGATCTCGTGGTGTAGTGAGTCATCTTGCAAGTCATTTCCGGTTAAAGAGAGGATATAAATATGGAACGTTCTCCTTCCCTGACTTTCAGTAAAGTCTTTAAAACTACTCGAACAGAACAAAATGTCTTTACGTTGGATAATTTTCAGTTGTTTTTTTACATTCTGCATGGCAGGTAACTAATTATAATTACATTTTTTTAAGTATAAAACACTATACGTTATACACTTTATTTTAATTTAATTTTAAAAGTGATATTAAGAATTTATTGTAGCAAATAGATTTTATATTTATTTATTCTTAAGTTAAAATTTAACACGAAGGCCACTAAAAGGTACGTGAAACTGACCACTTTATAAAGGTGGACGTTTTAACAGGTTCGACTGTATATTTAAATTTAAATTAATTTTTAAAAAGTAAATGAAGCCTGTAGCTTGCCATTTACTAAATTTTTTCTTTAATAAATATTAAAATATTATATTTTTACAAAAAAATTGGAGATAAAAGTCATTTCAAGGTTAATATTCACACATATATTTAATACATTATATCCGTATTAAAATGTAGTTACCTAACACCGAAAGGATATTCTAATAATAAAATAATTAAGCTTCCTGGCATTTTATACAATAAAAAAAATACATTAAATTAGCTTTTAATTAATGATTTTTATCTAAAAAAATAATAATAATTTTATAAAAACTATAGTTTGTTATAAAACAATAGATTATAGTATATTCTATTCTCTAGAGTAGTGTTCTTTTAATGGGGAATGATAAAACTGATCTCTTGAAGAAACTAAATTTGCTTCAATTTGATACCTTGAAAGGGATTAAAATTAGTTTTTAGGGGTCGAAAATTAGTTGTAAATGGGTTTGGTTTAGTTTATTTAATTAAGGCAGGCTACACGTGGACGATCTGCCGAGGGGGTGCTTTCCAAAATGACTTTTATTATATATTGGCACTTATTTAGGCGTTACAAACGTGAAGAAAACTCCACATACTTAGTCCGTTGGCGAGGCGCGAATCCACGACCAGTGTTCAGTAGTTGTGGGTTCGAATCCCTTATTGGAAATGACACCAAGCAGCAACGTAAGAAGTATAAAGCGGCGATAACATCACAAAAGTAAGGGATCCTACGTTTGTATACAACTTGGAGGTCACTTTTTCCACTGAATCCATTTGTAGGACACGTCCTACCAAAAGTAGGACATGCCCTTCTATTCAGAAAAAGTTTCTCCCTTCATAATGTTTTATCTCCTAAGCTTATTTAAAGCGTAATTTCTATAGCAAAATTGAGAATGATGACACTGCAACCGCCCAAACTAGTCATAAATATTGAGCCTGACCTTTTTTGTTAAAAAATTTTCATTATTTTATAAAGTAAACCTCTAATTTAAAATTGTTTACGTGTAATTATAACAATAATTAAACCGAAATAATTAAATTATTTCGGTTTAATTTTATGCTTGGTTGAAGGTTAGACACTTTACAAGGACCGTTGAAATTGTTATGAAATATTTAAAATTTTCTATTTATTTTAAATATTAGAAACTATTTAACTGGAAATTACAATTTATCAGGCCCACATAAAGGGAAGTTATACAGGACATTGCACTCAGCCTCGAGCATCTAGACCCACTAGTAATCGAGTTCATAAAACCCTGAACACTGGTAGTCGCGGGTTCGCACCTGGCCAAAGGGATGACCATGTGGAGTTTTCCTGGTTTTCTGAACATTTGTAACACCTAAACACCTAAATAGGGGCCATTTTTCCATAGAAAATCCTCTAGGAAGGCACACCCACTCGGCAGATTGCTCATAAACTTGCAATTTAAGTCATGTAAAAACATGATTTAACTCTATGTGGCCCGTTGGGAAAGTGAGAACCAGCGTGTTCACTGGTTTATTCTACAGAATGCCAACAATGCCACATAAATTTAATTGTATAACATAAATAAACAATAAAATTAAATTTAAAAATGAATTAATTAATGACTTCATTATTTTTTTTTATAGAGCCAACATGGGACACATTAAGAGGTAACGTTTTAATTTTATTATATTATTTAATTGTATATACTACTATTTAATTTTTCAATTGAAAAACTACTAGTGACTTGGGGAATGAATATTTTAAGTTCCATTAATTTTGCTAAGATGCCTCTAACAATTGGAGAGACTTCAGGAAAGGGATTCAGGAAATTACCTGGAGAATGTTCTGGTGAGTAATAATTTTATAATTTAATCAGAAATTAAACTAAATTTTTGAATGCAATATATAAATTTAATATTTTCAATAGGTGGAAAGTTTTACGGTCATCGTTATATCAAAGGACAAGATTCAGCGATCGTATTGATCTATGATTCTAAAGGTTACGTAGCAGGAATACAAACGGGTGTAAGTCACGTTTAATTATAATTTATACGGATAATTAAATAAAGATTTTAATTTAATTTACCTTCCTCTTTATTCGGTTTATGACACCAGTTCTATCTTTCAATACGCGGTGTTACATTGTCCATCCACAAAATTATTCGTTTACTATTCAAATCCTAACCATGTTCCTACTAATCATCCCAATCTTAATTCCATGTTCAATCACTGACTTCTTCATTCTTCAAACTCAAGATGTTAGAGCTCTTACGAGGATCACAAAGGTTCATAGATAGGTGCCAGACTAAGAAAACACCACCCCGATTTTCTAGATTTGGTCGTTGTTTGAAAGTGGCCATTGTTAAGAGGTAGCCATTATTACCTATTCGATTGTATTTCTTTAATTGTTAAGTAATATTCTGTATTATACTTTAACAAATTTCAAAGTTTTACAGAATCAAACAAAAGAAAACACTACTATTTCAAAAGAAATACAGTCAAACTTCAATATAACGCCATTCTCTCATATCGTTACTAAATTATCTTTCAGTAACTCTCATATCGTTACTAAATTATCTTTCAGTACTAAATTATATTTCAGTAAATACTAAATAAAGAATCCTTCAGTGTCCATGAATTAAATGGAAAATTTTTCATTATAAATGACATTATCATCACTTTACATGACTTTCAAACTCTTATACTTGTGACTACACTTAGTTACTAAGCTTTATACTGTATAATTCTTATTGTTTGAAATACTTCTACTCGGATCCCTGTTAAATCGCATCGCACACTCGATTTAATGCCAGTTTTTAAAGACAAATGGTAGCGCTAAATCGAACTTGAAATTATCCAATTAATCTCAATTCTAATGACTCTAAGCCTGATTCTTCCAAGCGGCAGGCCCGGAAGGATTCTTTAAGACCTTTCTTTACTTTCTCGATTATCCGGCCAGATTTATTATCTTTATGGAATTTTGTAAAGTTTCATTATGCACTTATCCATTTGTAGATACCAGCCTATTTCATTAAGCAAATGAACACCGATTATCCGTATTCCAAGACCCCTTCGTTCCAGTTGGACAAAATCGATGACGAAGATGTTTATTTTCTTACAGCTTATTTTGTGGATCCTCGTAAGTCTAATTTTATCTTTTTGCTAAATATGTATAAATAATGTATTAATCAATATAAAATTTATAGAAACAATCTGCAAAAGTGAACGATCGCATGACGAATTCGAAAAAAATATTGGTAATGGTTTATGGTTTCAGAATGGTATCAATCCATTAGAAAGTTCCTTAAAGGTTCCTTTATATGAAAAAAATGTTACTGATAAAAAGTGGACTAAAGGAGGCTGTTATAGAACAATGGGTAAGTTGAATTTTATATTTACTGATTTACTAGAAGTTCTTTTCGGTTTTCACCAATTAGCAAAAAGAATGATCCTCTTTATGTCCATTGAGGCCTACTCCAGGATTTATTTCTGCCCATGGTGGCTTATGTGATGATTTCTTTAACTAAAAGGATCTTTTCTCCGTGTCCACTATGAGTTCGGCCAGACCCACAATGAAATCGAGTGAGTGAGGGATGGGGTGACATATTTAAAATAAAATACCCATAAAAAATTTGGTTCCGAATTTCATACCGGCATATTCTCCATAGCGGCAGGCGATGCCTTTACGTTTCTGACCATTATTATTTATTAGAATGTCTGCTCACTATTTGGAAAGTAAGCCAGATGCTCAGTCTTTCCGCTATTGTATTTTCGGTTTCGATTGTCTTCAGCTTCCACAATTTATCATAGCATCTGTTATGATTTACCATAAATATCATGGATTATAATAGAGTAAGTTTACAGGATAAAATTGGATAACATTTAAGATGATCATTGTTTGATATCAGTGAGGATTTGTTCTCATTCATCTTGTTTCCATAAAGCCATCCTCCATTATGGTATTACCCTGTTGTATATCATAGTTTTTTTTATATTTTATTTATTTTTAGGTCAACATTATTGGTATAATCTCTCAGAAGATATGGATTGCGATAAGTTCTTTCCATTCTTTTTGATGTACAACAGAGAAAAATTAACAGGTTTTGGGTTTGCTCTTCTTGGAAATTTTCAATTTACTAGTAGATATGAACATCCAAACAAAGATTCATTATCGGTAAGTAAATAAAAATAAAAATAACAATTTGTAACATTTTGTAAATACAAAACACTCACTACTTTTATAGAGATTTTTGGATCCTGTTCCCAAATGCTTAAACAAAGAATATGATAAGGCTGGAGGATTTACTTCTTTACACGTTTACTTCACAGTACGTCCTTGGAATTTGTTTTGCTGAACGACAACCTCTAAGAAGTAATTATATATTTTTAGTTTATATTTTAGTAAACATTAAAGAATATACAGTAAATATTTATAATTTTAATATTATTTCATTGAAATATTTCCAGTATCTACAACGAAAGTATGATCAATGAATAATAAGGATCTACACTATGCATCAGAATAATAAAATTGTAAAATTTACATTTAATAGAAATAAATTACTAAATGAAAATTGTTGTATAATTCATTCACTAGTAATGACCTGGTGACAATCTGTAATGTAGACTGGAAACGTTTGAATTTATATTGAGGCCCACCAGTGGCCAAGCGGTCTTCGTACCCTGAACACTGGGAATTCGTGGGTTCGCGCCTCGCTCGGACGTCTGTAACGCCTAAATAGGGGCCAATTTCCCTTAAAAAGACCTCCCGGAAGACATACCCCCTAGGAAGATCGCCCAAGTGTTGTGTTGCCATAACTTAACCAACAACATTGAATTTATTTCGCTATTTAAGGTGATGGTTTATTCTTCGAAAGTTTGTTTATTATTCATATTTAAAATTCTTAATTAAATTTCCAATAGTTAACGGGGGGTTCGAACGTGCTATTCGAGTGAAGTTTCCCGGACTTTCTTTACATATAATATTTAAATATAAGAGAATTTGTCATAGAAAGTCTTCCTAGGTGACACCCATCCTAGAACATCGTCCATATGTTATTTTGTTTATCCCATGGATCCACCGAATCCTTCGACAAAGCATTAAGCCAATGAGCACGAATTTTGGGCTCTAGCACCTAACTTTACACGTTTCAAAAAGAAATTACTTCACACGTTTTTGCTATAACCTCAAAGTGTTGTAATTAAGAAAGGAGTACGGACGACAATGAGAATGTATAGGTATTGCAGCCCACCTATAGATTTTCATTGTCGTTTGTCTGTTCGTCCGTCCTTTGAAAGTTGCTGATTTTACTATACGCTAATATTTACAGAAATAAGTTATTTCCGTTTATGAAAAAAATTCGCCATGGATAATTCAACTATAAATGTAAGGCTTACTTTAAAATAAAATAAGATTTGTGTCTCTTTTAATCTATAATAAACAAAGTGAAAACTAAATAAATTGAATAATAAAGGCTACATTAAAAAATCAGTGAAAAACTCATAAAATAACAAGTTTAAAACTAAATACAATATTATTTCTTGTTAACATAAAATATTACATTCTTTTATTTTTTGTATGGTAACATAATTATGCTGTAAGTTATTCTATATTGTAAACCTTAATATTTTTAATTTTCTTTGATATTCAAATGTTGATTTATCTGATGACAAATAATAATAAAATACACATAAAAAGTAGTTTCGGAATTTCAAGAGCATTTTATGTTGTTAGAAAGAAGAAAAAAATGAAAAAATTAAACATATGATCGTAGTTTTTGATGTAATGCTGACAGTTTCACAATAAAAATTCGTTTGTTCTTTTAATGCATACTCTAGAGAGGGATGTATAACCTCACTTAAATCGACATTCCAGTTTTTACCATGTGAAAATATCTTTATCTGATCTCCCCCGATTGACTGGAATGTTGGTCAGTAATGATCTTCACATCCTAAAGTGATTAAGACCAAATTGCTATCTGTTATAATATCATCAGATATTATAACAATAACAAATTTCTTATCTTCTACATACTGAGAAATGTGTTTTTCACATAACAGTAGTAAATACAGCAGCTGTTTAAAAGGATGCAGGAGTCTTTCATGGCTTTTGGTTATGGTCAACCCTGTAATTTTTTATTTTGGTTATTTCTACTCCTAGGAAAAATAGTACGAATTATATCCTGTCTTAGCGTTGGTTGTAAACGTTTCTCCATATGTTTTACCTCTTAATAATTACATCATATGTCCTTATAATGCAACGATTATCAAAATACAACTCAGAAATAAAGGTAAGAGTACATATGTTTTCGTTTTCGGGACATTAACAGAGCTGTAAAGCATACCCATGTGTATACCCATAGGCGCAAAAAAGTCAAAGGAATCATACCTCTAAATGTGATCCTTTCCTCCAAAATCAGCCAAAAGCCTACTCCCAGGCGCTATAGGGATCACGCTGCGTGCTCTGCTAAATCTGTCGCATGTTTAACTGACAGTACAGCACAGTAAGCAAACATTCTAACAACATTTATAGGTAAAGAATGAAGACAAATTTGACATCTGAATCTTTGCAAAATATACCCTAAATGTGGAACCTAATGGCAGCCGTTCCGGTCACTATCTTGCGAAATGTCACATTTAGAGGTATGGATCCTTTGACTTTTTTAATCTTGTGGATATCCTCTCAATTCTGTTAAGGTCCCAACAGCGTCATTCGCATTTGCAATTGTTCCCAAATGAAGGAGTTCTTGGTGATTTCGAAGCCTCCTTCTCCATGTATTTTGTTTATTTTTTTACAAGGGGCAAAGCCACTTTAACATCCCGAAACACACCACTTAGAAATCATTATTATATCAAAACCAAACGATTTCTATATTAACAAACACCTGCTTTGGCAGTAACTAACGTGCTCCGACTTACTAACGGGAGTTTTTTTAACGTTATTCTAGTGATCGTGGTTATAATACTGCAAGTCTGTGTATATAACGAATAGCGTTCTCTTTTAGTTTCGTATTTTCTTCGATAGGCTGAGCTATTATGGACACTTGAATGTAGCTGGTGTATTGTTTTTATTATCATACGTTCATTTTACCAAACAGAAGCGCCTGTTCGAATATACCTATCAGGTATGCATGAATAGACCCAACCCTCCGGTATACCTGAACGTAGTGATACAGTTTTAAGACTTTTCGCAACAGTTTTAATATCCTGTCTTCTTATTACTTATTAAGTTTTTAAATCCATCTAACATTTTTATAATTTATAAAAATCTAATACTTTATAAGATATAAAGGAATTCCTGACAGAGTGTCTTTTAAAAAATTTTTGACATTACTTCCTCTGGGTACCTCTAGATGGCGCTGAGCAATTGCAACTGCGCGCAATGTCTCGTGTGAATGCGACCATTGTTGTCGTTACATCAAAAATTCATTCGTTTTCACATAGTAATTTTATTTTTATAAGTTAATAAAAATATATTAAAAAATCGCAAATTATTTTTAATTTTATACATTACTTTCGATTAAATTTAATAAATATTTTAATAAATTACAAATAATATATAAATTGTTTTATTTCATACGCAACAGATGGTGCCACCAAAGTTATTTTTGCCCGTCTTTCACCCCTCACATTTTATATTTCTCGTTTTTTTACATTATTTTTTAAAGCCTTATGAGCATTTTTACTGATTATTTTTACGACTTTTTATTGATTTTTCTTTTCTTTAGATGCTGACATTTTTATTGATTATCTTTGTTTTTTTTTAGTTCACGGTTTCCAATATAAAACTTGGTTCTGTAGAACTTGTTTTTCTACTATAAAGTATAAAATTATATAAAGGAAACATTGTGTTAATTGTTTTTTTAAAGCAAATATCCCGTAGATATTTTGGAAATGCTTTAATTCCTGAAATGTGGAAAGGGTTTTCTTTTTTTTCCGGATATTTTTTAAGCTGATTTCCTTATTTTCTGTGGAAAAATTCAGCCAGATGCAAATGTTCCAAGAGAATTTAAAGTACAGTACTTCTATTATTCTTAGCTAAGCATTAAAGCAGTTTTTTTCTGCACTGATGCCCTAGAATGTCTTGTGCATGACAAAAGGACGTTAAGTTTCATGAAATTTACAGCAAACGTGCAACTCGAATGCAAGGAAAAGAAAATGAAAAATGATCGAATTCGAACGTAAACAATGAAAATGTATAGAATTTGATTTACAATTGCTATTTACTGAAACCATTTGTCTATACAAATATAATATCTGTAGCGTTGATGGTTCGAAAGTCGGTTAATCTAGAAAAAGTGAATTTAATGAGAGTGGTTAACTGAGTTCTGGGCCACCCCTAACGAGATGAAAACCGTGTTAATTCTGGATACGTCTAGCGAGGGCCCCAAAGTTTAATTTATATATATCTGTATATATATTTAAACACTAAAAATACTTTTAAAATAAATGTTAAAATCAATTTTACTTCAAGGAAATCTTTAAAGAATGAATTGTTTTAAAATTATTCCAAGACTTTAATTAACAAAAACCATCGTTATATTGTGTGAAGTTTTTTTAAATTTTATTATTATTTATTATTCTTTCTGCTGTATATTTCTTCCTCTATCGATTTTCAGCCTGTAGGCTGGTTTTCTACTGTTATTAGATGTCACATTACCCCATTCATAGCTACATTCTTCATTTCAGTACACGAACCTAATGCAGTATTTTTATGTTGGAATACATAGGTCCTACGCAGTCTATGATCCACCAGTGGTAAATGGATATATAACGCAATAATTAGTCGTGGGTTCGTGCATCACCTAACGTACTGGTTGTGTGGAATTTACTTCGCATTTCTAACACCTAAACAAAGGCCATTTTCTCACAGAAAGTCCTCCAGACTGCATTTCCTCATGAAAAATCGCTCATTTGTTTCTTTGGTATCTCATTAAACCAAAGTTTCCCATCCTTTCTCTTCCTTCAGTAGCATGTTGCAGCCGTCCTCCGTGCCTCAGGACATAGTCCATCTATTCCAATCCATGCTTCTACACTGCTACCGAATACACCTCAATATATTGTCCAGTTTAAAAAAAAATTTAATAATTCATCAGCAAGGGAAACGGTTTCTCTTATAATATTATTGCATTGCATGTCACTTAAGGTGCCTAATTTGTAAATAAATACTTACGAAAGCTGAAAAGAAGCATTGAAACTTTAAATTCAAAAGTATATAACATACTTATTTATCTGTTTACTTGTAGTTGTACTCATCAGGGAATTCGATATAAAAATAGGAAATCCTTCTTATCTATTTTCTCCATTTTCTTCTGAAGAAAAAAAATTAAAAAAAATGTTTAAATATAGAAAAATATTGAGTAGCCATTTGGGCACATCTGATAAATAGAAAGATTTATTTGAAAATGTAGGATTTAACGTTAAAATGAGATCAGCACATCTTACACCTCTAAATGTTGTTTAGGTTGATTGTAACATCGATGCTGAAAGCATTTATTTAACATTGGTAGATCCTTTGCAATCCACTTAAACAATGGGAAACTACAAAGTTAAACTGATGAAATTTAACCTGTGA